TCAGTTACTATTGAGCGTTAGTACAGGGTGTTCGTGTCGTCGAGTGCAATGGATCCATTAAAAATATTGTGTATTTACGAAGTATATTCAGAAGATGAGGCCAGAAAAAGAAACTGGGTAAACCCACAGAATAGTCAGAGGCTGATATGTGGACAGTTCCATACTTTATATGAACATAAACTTGCAAATCCAGATATGTTTGAAAAGTACTATCATGCCATTACGTGTTTTTCAAGAATTATTACACCACGCAACTTGTAACAAACTGTTGCTTCCCCACTCCCCTTCCTTGCCCTACCCTCACCCCGACCGAAATTCGGACGAGCTTATGCGCATTGAGTCGGCAGACAACTCATTTTGCGTTGTCGTGTGGCACCAACTGCCTTTTTGTATGAAACCGAATGCAGCAGAATTTCTGTGACCGAAATTCTGCGACTCACCACTCACAAAATTACGCTCGTTTGGCCTCACCCTAAACCGCACCTCACCACCCGTGTTCCTTTGAAATTTCAATAATTAGACAGTTAATATCAAATTCGGGATCAGGAATAAAATAAAATAAAAAAGAAAATGTTTTAGGTGACAAATCCAACGATTCCAAAAGTGTATGATAGTAAACTATCCACCACAGCATTTAAAAACGGGGAGTTTAGATATTTTTTCTCTACTTCAATGAATATGACAAGAAAGAGGTTTTATTAATTTGAAGATGTATTAGCCATGTTATTTGAAGCATCCTGGCATGATTACACGAAATACAGACAGACACGCAACACGTTATAGATTCCAAAGGTGTGTATAATAGTAAACTACCAAACACAATAACTTATCTAATGTATAAGTAATCTATTCTATCCGTTACCCTAGTACCCCATAACAAGCCTTACTGTACTTACTTTGGGGCTAGGCTAATTGGTGTGGTTTTTTTTAAGCATTTAACTGCTAGATGTTATAAACCTTAAGAAATTTCTTAACCTGCCTTGCAGCCTAAGAAAGGCTAGAAAGAATTCGACACGGCCATCGGGGACGCGGTAGCAATTGGTCAGTGCATTCGCCCGGATAGCGAAGAGTGGGGGTCGAGTCCCGTCTGCTGCCTGGAGCCCATTCGCCTAACAGAAATGCTTTGGAAAACGCTAACGCTTTCGATTTTATTTTGTTATTTTTGACCGCCGAAGGGTCAAATACCTCACCCTCATTCTTTTAATATTGTTATTACCAATGCAAAAGAAAAAAAAGAGCGCGAGACATTTGAAAACCACAGGCGGCTAGAAATAACAAAATAAAATCGTAAACATTAGCGTTTTCCAGAGCATTTCCGTTAGGCGAATGGCCCCCTGGTCCGCGTGGAATTTTTTCTAGTAAAAATTTTCTTAAAATATTTATTGTTTATTTATAATTATTAATTCGAGCATCGGGTCATCAGAATTATCGTTAGTCCTCTATATAACACAAAACTTACAATTTACTTAAAAGGCAGTTCTCACGTGTTTATGTGGGAGTCAATGCATAATTCATTGTGTATAATACAAACGCGGCCTTAAACCCATTAATCGAATGAAACTTAACAGATATTGATTTTGTCACTGTTGCGACTGTTTCTTTTTACCTGTATGTGATGAAGTAATTATGTTTTTTCTTAAGAAGCTAATTTCGGTATTTTCGGAACGGCAATTTCGGTTATTGGTAACTTAAACTAGTTTTATCTTCCTCTATTCATAATTGATATAATTTTCGTAATCTAGATTATAATAAATTATTTAATTCACTAAAGAATGAGATTTAAAACTAAAAGCAGCCTGTGAAAAAATTTGGCTTACTGATAGATAACTGCCGTTAAAAAGGTTATTGGTTCTATAAGAAGTATAAAACATATTTTTTTTGGATTTGGACTGAGTATTTGGATGTCCGCCATATTGCTTTTTTTCTTGATAAATATAGCTATCCTACATATAGTAGCCATCCTAGATATACTCCATCATCAAAATAGGTACAGTAGCGTAACCTCTCTATATACAGTGAAATGAACTCTTGTATTTTTTTTTCTTGTTGTCGACCTATTTATATGTATATTATATACACAGTAAACTCATCAGTATATCCATAAGACGTATTGATACCTTCTGGCTAGATAATACATTTCCTATTCTTTTCGACGTCCGTTTGAATTATTTAGCGAGAACTTTCTATAAATATAAACATAGTAAGCAAATATATCCATCGCTTTATCACTTAATCGCTGCAAATACACATATCGTGATTTATGATAAGCTTGACGTATCAAATGTGCTATTCACACCTTCCGACACTTACGCAATGTTGCTTCAAAGTGAATGTGTCACTGTTTCTTAAAACTCACTTCAGCCTTCACTCAACGGAAACGTAATACATAGTTATAATGCGATTCAAATAAGAACAGGAAAGCCAAGGACCTCCAACTGTCAAATATCGCTTGAAAAGTACGGTTTGCAAAAAAAAAAACTTGGAACCCTTTTTTAGCACTCTGCTAATTCTAGAATAGAAACCACACATTTGTAAACAAATATTGATAATTAATATTGGTTGATATTTTTTTCATTTATTGAGCTTTGAATGGTTGATAACCTAAACCGTCAACCAAATGTCACTAATTTGCGTTCAGAAACTCAATTTATAACTTTCGTTTACCTAAAGGATGCATGTTCGTATGTGACCTAGTAATAGTGCATGATTATTCATAACTACTCCGGCGGTAATGCAGAGATGAGCGGAATTGAAGAGCTACATTCTGATTTATGTTTTTTCTCACACACTAAATAAAATAAATATTATTAAAAATTGGTTACCTATTTTTTTTCGCAATCTCAGTAAATATTTTAATAAAAAAATTGATGTTTTTTCTCACTTAATCTTAGTTAGAAGTTTTATTAAATAAAATCTTTTTTTTGCTCACTCTACATTTGGTTTGAATTGACAGCTACGTCGTAAAAATATGGCGCCCGGTCTGTCCTATTCTTAGTTGAATCGCATTATACTAGCAGTAACTCAACACCGTTTTCAGACTTAAGCCGTATTACACAGACTACAGATTGCATTTTTTATCTCACTAATGGCTGTTCGCCACTTCCTCTGCAAAGAACAAGCTGTTTTATGAACACTTGCATTTCCTATTTTAGTTCAGCCCCTTGCAGATATATTTCGCGAGAAAAAGTTGCGTTCAAATCCAAAATCTCATTCATTCATTGTGTTTCATAGTATTTCTACAAACCGTTCACACCACGCGCAAGTTACGCACATTTATATGAAACACGAATTTGCAAAGCAACTCATATTCATAACGAATTTGTGCCAAAAAGAAATCAGAAACATAGAACGACCTTTAAATCTAATGGGTTCGCCCGTGATTTCTCGACATGGCCGTATGCATCCGTCTCTTATCTATGTATGCGTGCGGACGATTTACTTAGTTCTATACTGTGAGCTCTTTTTCTACCTCTGGTCATAAATATATTAAGTAAATTACCGCGCAATCTTCTTATCCAATAAAACTCGTTCGTTATTATCGTCATGTGATGTGACAGAGCACAAATCCTGGCCATTCTCTAATTTATCTCAACGTTGATCTCGACGTCGAGTATGCCTTGCCTAGGGAACGACAAGTCTTTTGTTAGGCTATAAAAGAACAATAGGGATGATGACTAATTTTTTTTTCTCGTTTATCAGGTAGATTATCAAAAAGTATTGGACACGTATTTTTTCTTTTTTCACATAATATAAACATTGCAGAGATATATTGATTTGAAAAGTCGCATGACGTCACGTTTGAGTATACTTAAAAGTGAAAATTCACTCAAAAGTGACGTCACGAGCCCCTACTTCCAAAACTTTGACGCGCTATAACTTTGTCATTTTTTGGTTGATTGCCCAAAGAAAAAATACGTGTCCATTATTTTTTGATCATCAAACTGACGGACTTAATAGAATTTCGTTTCCTGTACCCCGTCATCACCCCTATCAGTGGCGGTCTTAGGGGGTGGCGAACAGGGCAATCGCCCGGGGCCTCGCTCCTACAGGGGCCTCGCGCAACAACCCAAGCAAATTTTAAAAATATAAAAAAAAATACTATTTTTTCAATGACACAAGATCGGCTTTCAGCCCTCGCTATTCTTTCAATCGAAAATGACGTAGCTTATTCGTTAGATTATTGTGCTTTAATTAAAGATTTTAGTCTTAGGAAAAGCCGCAAACATCAATTTTAAAATTTATCATCTCTGTATTTGTTAATTTTGTGAATCTTTCAATGTAAAATATTTTAAAATTCAAATTTGATTTATTTGTATAATTTAAGCATTTTTCCTTAAACATGACAAATACCTAAACCAAACAACCAGACCTACTTTCGCATCACATACTTTTCACGAAGGACAAAGGGCCTCGCAAAGACCTGCCGCCCGGAGCCTCGCAATCGGTAAGGCCGCCTCTGACCCCTATTTACGATATTTATAAAAATAATGTTTTTTTTTTGATCAAAACAACGAAACATGTTCTAGCTGCCATCTAAATCTAATGACGATGACTTATTTTTGCTTTTATATTTATATCCTGTTTATATATTCGTTTGTAAATAAAGTTTCAAATCGTTAAACCTATCTGCACGGAGTGCACGGCACTTCTATTTGTTGTTTTCCTGTAAAATCGTCCGCTTTGTGTAAATACAACATTTGCATGTTTTAAGAGACCATCTGATGTTTTGCACTTGTAAAAAAATTTTGTACAGTTGAAGTTCCAGTTTTCTCCAAATCAAATTAATAAAATTATCGGGATCGAACCATCAAGCGATTTTCCTGCCAACTGCATCAACTGTATACAATATTAGGAGTATGCTTTGTATATAATTAATTTTAATATTCCCATTAATTACTAGAACTAAGACAATTATAAGACTAATTGAAGCATCAGACGTTCTCTTTGCTGCCTACATTGAAAACCGTATAAAATTATTCTTTAATTTTCTTTCCATTCAGATCAGAACCAAGGTTACCCTCCGCAAGGCGGTTATCCCCCTCAAGGAGGTTATCCCCAAGGCGGTTACCCCCCTCAGGGAGGTTATCCCCAAGGCGGTTACCCTCAGGGAGGTTACCCTCAAGGCGGATACGCGCCCCCACCACAACCAGGTTTCCAGCCGGCAGGGTATGGAGGAGCAGGGTATGGTGAGGTAAGCAAATGTTAATATTATAATTTTTATTTTTAAGCATGTAACTGCTTGATGTTTAAATCTAAAGAAAATATAACTAGAAAAAATTCCACGTGGACCAGGCAGCAGACGGGACTCGAACCCACGGTCAGTGCGCCCCGATTGCGAAGGGTGCGGGTTCGAGTCCCGTCTGCTGCCTGGTCCTCGTGGAATTTCTTCTAGTTATACTTTCTTTACTGTTAATATTGTTCTTTATTATTTATTACTTACCCTTTTTTCGGAGAGCAAATGCGTTTTTGTATTTGGAAATATTAAAAAGTTTGTGTATGCGTGGAGCACGATATTATTGCGAATTGCGGCCATTTCATCTATTCATCATCAAACTCTTGAATGACAGTATGATGTTTGGGTAATCTAGGATGCCTCGATCTTTGACACTATTATAAGCGCAGCTTACCTTTAATACCTTTTTATTGTGAAATATTTAAAATAAATGTGATAAAATGATTTGTTTTAGTTTCTGAATGTTGTGACAATATTTTCTATGTTTGTTTATGATAAAAACGCCCCTAATGATGATGCCCATGACAATGTTGGTAAGAGCGGAAACAGTAATGTTAATATTAAACCATATTCAATGGAATCCTAAAGGTCATGGCCGTTTGTTGAAAATATTTTTTTTGGTACCCTATAAGTTCGACAACTGTATAGGTTTAAAGAGTTCAGGTATGATACTTCACAGGGTGCAAAGCAAAGTTGCCCCTCGTTATGTTTTTTTTATACATAAGTCCGACAAATGAGTAAATCCCAAAATCCCCTACTATATTAGTCATCATCATCAGCCTATTACTGTCCCCACTGCTGGGGCATAGGCTTTCCCTATGGATGGAATAGGGAGATTGGGCCATGACCCACCACGCGGGCCCAGTGCGGGTTGGTGGGTGCTAACGACTGCAGATGCAGCCGGGACCAACGGCTTAACGTGCCTTCCGAAGCACGGAGGAGCTCGAGATAGTAAATTTTTGGCAACCCATCCAATGACCGACCACTGCGAAAGTTGCTCAACTTCAACGACCGCAGCCGAACGCGCTAACCACTGGCGCCGTCGAGCTCCTCACTATATTAGTACCTAATACGTAGTAACTAACTAAGTATGCCCGTAAGAGATAAAAACAAATTACATTCCATTTTTTGCAGTCCCGTTATAACCATATTTATACACAAAATGTAGTTAATATTAAATATTATTAGGAAGTTTTTATATCAACATTTTGTAGGCAATAGGTACCCAATAATGGGCAAATTCCACTCATGATTCGCCCTTTGACTCCGTGAGTTAGATATCAGTATTGTATGACTTTATTTATATTCAAATGTCCTTATTATTTACGAGGATTAAGCTTAGACTAGTTACCCCGTGTTTAGTTCATCACTCAAATGCCATTTATCATTCAATGAACAGAGACAAAACATGCAGTAAATAATCCTAGCTTAATCATTGTTTATTAATAAATTGGCTAAGAGTGTAGAATCTAGAATTCTAGACCGGAAGTACAATCTGTGTGGGATTCCCCAAGAGAAGTAAGGCAATGAATTACCGTCGTTGACTTATGACATACCTACACTTCATTGTTATTACAATTAACAGCCACTGACTATGACTCATTCCATTCCGTATAACTATTGACGTAAGTACCATACTACTTACAGACACTCCGTTAACTTACGTTTTCCGCAACAAAGTGTGCAAAATATGTGTTCTCAAACAGCGCCGTTTCTACTGAAACTATGTACATCTCAGTTCGCTCCGCTTTCAACTAGATGGCGCTTCTCAAATTTCAACAATTTTAAGTTTGCGCAACCGCGTGCGCGCTCTAAGGATTTTGCACCGTATTCGAGGTTTAAAATAATGCATTTCTAAAATTACTTGTAGCTAGTGACAGAGCGACTGTCCCAAGAGTATTATATAGTTTTTGATGTGTAACATCTTTCCTCTCGCTTTCCTGCAATTTGTGGGAGTGATGTCGTGAAATGAGACGGAAGTGTATAACAGGAAGTCGCGAAAGCGCGCGCTATTTGATTTGATTTTAGAACATAATGTTCAAATGGCTTTTTCTTTTTGTAGTAGGTTTTATTTCTTTTTTTTTACTAATATAAGGTGAGGTTTCAAATGTTACACATCATACGCGACTACTGTAAGGCTCGCTCGTTTTTTTTTATTCTGTTTTTTTAAAGGTTCGTTTTCGGTACTGGCAAGCGTGTTATCAGTGTTATTTTTACTTATCATTTGTATCGACCGCGTCCGCCCGGCTTAACAAACTTTATCAGTGCGTTTTGTAATAAGTGTTGAGGTGAAGTTCAAACTATTATGTCCCAAGCGCAGGTAAATACTATTCTTGAAAAAATATTAATAGAATATTTATATAGCGTAGCGAAATCCTTCGTCCGTGGTATAAAGACTGGCTGGTATGATACTTATGATACAAGCCACGTGTTGATTCGAAATTGAATAAAATAATAACTCATTCAAACTCTCAGCTTAAGAAAATCAAAATATACCACAGGTTTTTTTTTCCACATCCTCGTAGATATAGAGAAAGTCACGTCGCCGCACAAAACGCCGCCACCGGCATATTTCCTGTAGTTTTCATACATTTTATATGGATTGCCACACACGGTACGCCGGTGGCCGCCACACGCTACAAATCGTCGTCGCTCGCTTCTTGTGGCCCGCAACAGCCCTAATGCGTCGATTCAAAACGCCGCCACACGCCACTCGAGCAATTCCCCACCTTCAAACCTTTTTCGTCAGAGTCCATTATGATACTGCACGCATGTGTTAAAAAAAGTAGCAGCCACCGACGGCAAGTGTCGACCACCGCGCGCTTCAGCTACCTTTGTAGCCGCTTCTAGCTTCTCGGCGACACTTAAGAGAGGTAGGGCATAGCGGATTTTCCGATCAAACAAGAGCGCCCGCCTGGGGAAGAAGCATCCGCCATACAGAAGACCAAGGTGACATAACACTACCTTCTGGGGGCCATTCGCCTTACAGAAATGCTTTGGAAAACACTAACGCTTTCGATTTTATTTTGTTTTTTAGACCGCTGAAGGTTTTGAAATACCTCACGCTCATTTTCTTTAATATAGTTATTACCAATGCAAAAGAAAAAAAAGAGTGTTGAAAACCTTAGGCGGCTAGAAATAACAAAATGAAATCCGTAAGCGTTAGCGTTTTCCAAAGCATTTCCGTTAGACGAATGACCCTCTGGTGGTGTTGTGTTTCAGTCGATGAGTAAGGTTCCAGGGTACCACGGGGTGGGAGAGATGGGGTCAGGGTAGGTAGGAGTGATATTGTTTGTATCGCAAGCGTCTCTTCTCTAGGCTATAGATAATATTACCGTGGCTATAGTGACCGCTTACCATCAGGAGGGCCCAATAAGGATAATTTGCCCTTTTAAAATAAAATAATAGTAGTTTGGATGAAATTCAGTACACAGTTTATTACTATACGATAGCGATACCGATACCAATGCTCTTATAAAAAATATTGGTGATACCGATACGCATATTAAATTCAAGATTAATGACACGTTGCCCGTTATGTTTGGATCAGAGTGCTATGGTCGTATTGCGAACTCGTAACTCCAGACCAAAACTAAAAACTATGATTGAAGAAGGATATCGCTCTACTATGCTTATAATGTCTCGATCTAATAACAGAACTTGGATTTCATGATACAGCCTTTGGGCAATAAAAAAGTTGCACTAAGTGGAATTGAGAATGTTGTCGACTAATGTTGACCATGGAAGAGCGTAGGAAGACAGAAGAAGAATGAATAAAAAATATTGTAATTAGCGGGATCGCTACGTGATTTTTTGTTGTTTGCAACCGTTGTTTTTTTAAATTTGATTAAAGAAAGAAAAATGATTCATTTAGGTATGTTATGTCGGATTTCACTTGCTTTAAAAACTAACATTCTTCAAAAGCGCACTGTTAACTGCGTGCATACTCAAACAAACATAAACCGAACGGGGAATTCAAATATTTTACCCGTACGTCGTGAGTGTGAAAGCTTGGTTGGTAATTATTAAGCAAAATGTGTGGTTGGTAAATAAAGAGAAAACTTTAATGTAAACTGATAAGCATTGATCTTTAACGGAAACTTAATTAATAATTAAATTCTGTGCTCTTGAATAAAAAAACATGCTCTAGAAAACACTTTTTTTTATGTTTTTTTTCGCCTTTTTTATCATAGAAAGAATACAATTTTTTTCCCCCAGTCCCGACTGACTTTACTATAACAAGGTAATTGTCTGCAAGCCCTCCAATTACTATAATGGTAGTGACCATGTAAAAAAAAGTAAGTATATACATATGTTTAGTGTATTTAATTTTATCTTTACAGCCCCCGGGCTACGTGCCGCCGGGCGTCGGCGAAGATGGGGACGTCAAAGGGTTCGACTTCACCGAGCAGTCGATCAGGAAATCCTTTATTCAAAAGGTATTTACATAAATAATGTAGACAGTAAAAGTATACAATTAATGGCCAGTTTTAATAAACAACTCCCGAGTAAAACGTAGTTACGTTTCTTACCATCAGTTTTTATTTTAGTCTCAATATTTAGTGCTAAGTCTACTGTCTCTAAGTGTAGTTTGTTTATTGAAACTGGCCATAAAACGATAAAAATGTAAACCCACCTATATATTAAAAAAAAACTTTGATTTATTAATCTACAGTACATAAAATAATAATATAATAAAACTCCCATTTCTTTTCCTATCAAAGTTTTTTGTTGTTTTTTCAAAAGCACTAATTTTCTAAGACACACCATTCCTAAAATGAAATTTTAATGATGTTTTGGAAAAACAATCAGTATCTACAATAAACAGTCGCTTAACACAAAAGTACACGCGTTTGTGAAAAGAAATTAATTAAACTTATTAAAGACCCGAGTCAACGATATCAAATACCCTAGATACACCAATACGAACAAAATCATGCCCGAAACCTGTCCACAAGGTACACATTGGACGGAGGTATTAAAACAAAATTTACTTCCAAAATTACACTTTACAAATGCGTTAAATTCACAAACATTGATTGGATACCTGTCGAAAAAACGACATTTTACATATGTATTTTTTTCACATTATTTCACGGAGCTCAGCGGCATGTTGACTTTTCAACGGTCCGCGCCTGACTGTAAATCAAGAAGTGCATGAGTCGTGTTCAAGCACTTCTTCATTGGGACACATTTTTAGCGCACGTGGTGTATCTAGGCTATTTAATATCGTTGACCTGATTACTTAAAGCTCGTAAATTCGTAATGTATTTTTCAGGTTTACTCCATACTAATGTGTCAGCTGATGGTGACGTTGGCTTTCATCTGTTTGTTCGTGTTCCACCAACCGACTAAAATATGGGTGCATCAGCACAGATTCCTGTTGTGAGTATAAAATTCTTCTATAGATCTCAAGTGTGATCTTACTGTTATTAAAATTTAGCTGACCCGGCGAACTTTGTACCGCCTTAAAATTACCGAAAATGTTACGTACCCTCTGCAGCTGAGGAACGGATGAGCAAATATCCCGGAATAGCAAAATCCCAGATTAGCAGAAGGACAGATTTGCATAAAGGCAGTTAATTTACTGTCTTCGTCAAAAAAAAACAAACCCTAGTAACCTTATTATCAATATGTGACCTCTTTGCTTTAAATATCTAATGTCTAATTATTATTAAAACTACTGAATGGATTTGGATGAAATTTGGTACGCATATACCTATAGTTTACTAGCGGCCCGCCCTCTCTTCGCTTCGGTGTAGAGCTGAAGTGTAGACTACAGTTTTTGTTTTCAGGCTTGTATTATACACAATGACATTCATCTATGATTCTTCTTATACCTGCATGCAAAGTCTCAGCCCGATTAGTTTAAAATTGACAAAGTTTCATACAAACTTTCATTCCCTATTTTATCACCTTGGGGGTAGAATTGATCAAAATCCTTTCTTAGCGGATGCCTACGTCATAACATCTACCTGCATGCCAAATTTCAGCCCGATCCGTCCAGTGGTTTGAGCTGTGCGTTGATAGATCACTATGTCAGTCAGTTAGTCACCTTTGAGTTTTATATATATAGATGTCCTGGATTGAGACATAGGATACTTTTTATAAGAGAAATCATGCCAGAATCGGATCTGTAATTCTGTGATTGTAAGCGGCCACCATATACTATTATAGTACACTTGCGGAATAAAATATCATTCGCGCCACTGCCTCCCCTAACATAATCCGTTACCCCGTGGAGCCCTGGAACCTTACTCAGCGACAGAAACGCAACTACACCATAAGGTAGTGTTATTTTACTGTGTTCTTCTGTAAGGTGGAGGTTACTTCCACAGACGGCAAATTGTCTAAGTGTAATAAGATGTGATGTGGAGGTCCACATCAAAACGTAAAATTTCCATTTTAAATGATTTTACACAATTTGAGAAAAACGAATTAGTCATCAATGCTTAAAGCAATCTCTATACTCACCGTGGAAAAAAAAACTTATTAATGCATAGATTAGTTTGGGTCATCAAAAAGGAGATTGCTCAGCTTCCATACATGTTTGGCCTTTGACCAATAATCATGAAAAATTGTTTCCTAGATTCGAAATTAAATATAAATTACTGTAGAAACGAATATTATTGACGGACACCCCTGAGAACTTCTATAAACCATTACACTGAATGATTTTGAGGTGATGTTTGCAAATAAGTACACAGTTATTAAAACAATAAAAAACAAATAAGTTATATAGTAAACTAGGGAAATCAAGCGAAGTACCGAAATTGCGTATTAGATTCAGGTATATAGAGCATGTAGATTAACAGATACTTGCCTGTTTATAAAGTTAATGCACAAAAGTAACTTTTAAAATCAGGTATCATCTATGCATTTCCGGTTATAATACGGTAATCTGAGACAGAAACTGTGTGATGATTGTGAATGAGAGAATTTTTAAACTCTCGATAATTTAGTTAGTTAAGCCTCATTATTTTTGTTATGTTTATATTATAACCATATTTTAGATTTTTAGCGAATCACACCTTAAAATGTGTTATTTATGGAAGTGTTCGGCGAAAAATGTATGGCAATAGACTTTATGATGTCACCTACCATCTATAATAATTCTCTTAGCACATTTGCATGTAGTGAAAATGATAATATATTTGTGGATATTAATACCACAGTATAATAAAAAAAAGTTTTATTTTATCGATCTTTACAAAATAGATTTTTTGATGTTATATAAACAACTTCGATCAGTCTTTGGCTGAATGTTACTACACCCATAGCCATTAAAAATGATTCGTATGTTTTCCGAACCGGTAAAATTAAAAGTCCTTTTTAAAATGAATATATTATACAAAGGTGTCCGTTAAAATCTAATGACTGTAAAATAAAATATAAATTACGCCAAGAATTACCGTATATGTCAATATTTTTTGTACATTTGTACTAATTTGACCAATCTCCTTTACTTTTTTATTGTGATCTACTAACAAATGTCACATTTTGGTATGAATAAAAAAGAAATTGTAATTAATGTATGTTGTTTTAAAAAGACAAATAAACAGATTATTATTAATATTTATAATGCGATTCAAATAAGAATAGGAAAGCCAATGACCTCCATCTGTCAAATGTCGCTTGAAAAGTACGGCTTGCAAAAAAATCTTGGAACCCTTTTTTAGCACTCAGCTAATTATGGAATAAAAACCAAACATTTATAAACAAACAATAACAAATATTGTTAATTAATATTGGTTGATATTTTATTTTCATTTATTGAGCTTTGGCTATGAATGTTTGATAACCTAAATCGTCAAACAATTGTAACTTTAAGTTGCGTTCATAAACTCGATTTAAATTTTGGTTTACATAAAGGATGCATGTTCGTATGTGACCTAGTAATAGTGCATGATTATTCATAACTACTCCGGCGGTAATGCAGAGATGAGCGGAATTGAAGAGCTTAATTCTGATTAATGTTTTTTTTCTCGCACAGTCTTAATAAATAAATATTATTAAAAATCGGTTATTTTCTTTTCTCAATTTTAGTAAATAAATTTTATTAAAAAAATCGGATGTTTTTTCTCACTTAATCTTATTAAATAACAATTAAATAAAACTAGTTTTTACGGGTTAATGCACGAAACTTTATTTATTTATTGACGTTTCGTAGCCTTTACAGGCTTCGTCGTCAGAATAAAACTTTTATTTAATTTGTCGAGCTACCTTCGAAGGTAATGAGTGATGTGCGTGAAAACCTAAGAAACAAATAAATAACAATTATTAAATAAAAACTTTTTTGCTCACTCTACCTTTTTCGTTTGAATTGACAGCTATGACGTCACAATATGGCGCACCGTCGATCCTGTTCTTAGTTGAATCGCATTATATTTTATTGGAAAAAACTAAATTCAGAGGGAATAATCTTCTTTAACGTATTAAATTGATACGTTTTGGTGCAACTTGTTGATTTCATAGCGCTATAGTACGAAATTGAACGCGTTATGTTGCAACTTCAATAGAGTTTTCGATAGAATTCAGCAATTCGAACCGATCTGCATACTCAACTTATTTTCTGAACTACATGTGAAATGTTACGTTTTGGTGTAGACCTCCACAATTATTATTCCATTTCAATTATATTATTATTTATGTTTATACAGTTGGATCGCCCTGGTGGTTGTATTCGTATGCCTGATCGCGATGGCGTGCTGCGAGACTGTTCGTCGCACCGCACCAACTAACTTCATATTCCTCGGCATATTTACTGCGGCTCAAAGCTTTCTACTGGGGGTTTCTTCTAGCGTCTACGACAGTACAGCGGTGAGTCAACACTTAATACATAGATCAAAGGAGTCTCCAAAGACTTTTAGAAATATTTACTGCGGCCCAAAGCTTTCTACTTAGGAGTCTCTTCTAGTGTCTTTGACAGTACATCGGTGGCTCGACACTTAATACATAGACCGAAGGTGTCTCCAAAGACTTATATTATTGCCTTCATATTCCTGGAAATATTTACTGCGGCCCAAAGCTTTCTACTCGGAGTATCTTCTAGTGTCTTTGACAGTACATCGGTGAGTCAACTTCTAGGTATTTCCATAGACAGAATATCATGCGATATGACTGCGCTCTCTAACTTTATATTCATCGGTATAGTCACTGCGACTCTAAGCTTTCTACTTGGAGTCTCTTCTAGTGTCTTTGACAGTACATCGGTGAGTCAACTTATGTATCTTCTAGGACATATAGATATTCTGTCTATGGAGACACCATAGACAGAATATCTATGTGACCACGCCTATATGACTACTAACTTCATATTCCTCGGCATATTTACTGCGGCTCAAAGCTTTCTACAGGGGGGTTTCTTCTAGCGTCTATGACAGTACAGCTGTGAGTCAACACTTAATACATAGATCAACCATGTATCACCAAGGGGGAGGGAGGGAGGGGTTAAAAATGCCAAAAAAACATCACGTGATTAATGGACGGCCCCTAACGTAAATTACATAAATAACAAAATAATATAATGTAAGTGACCGTGAAACTTTAAAACAGATAACCTATAGACATAGGAAGATAAAACGTTTTTTTAATAAATTAGCGCATTATTCATATTTATTTTTATTGTTTCGTGAATAGGTGTTGATGGCCATCGGTATCACGACGGCTATATGCTTGGCCATCACTTTGTTCGCGTTCCAAACTAAATGGGATTTCACCACCATGGGAGGAATTTTGCTCTGCGCTGCCGTTGTGTTTATGCTGTTTGGTAAGTCCACAATTTATTAATTGAATCAATTTCGACCTTATTCCTATAGAAATAAGTGTGTACCAGTAGTCAATTAAAAATTATAATCATAGGGATATATTAAACATTAGATCTGTGTTAGGGTAGCCAATATTGAGGAGCTCCATGGCGTAGGTGGTTAGCGCGTACGGCTGCGATCGTTGAAGTCGAGCAACTTTTGCAGAGGTCGGTCATTGGATGGGTGACCAAAAATGTACTATCTCGAGCTCCTCCGTGCTTCGGAAGGCACGTTAAGCCTTTGGCCCCGGCTGCATCTGCAATCTTTAGCACCCACCAAGCCGCACTGGGCTCGCGTGGTGGGTCATGGCCCAATCTCCATATTTCATTACTAGAGAAGGCCTGTGCCCCAGTAGTGGGGACATTAATAGGTTGATAATGATAAAGTGTTAATCTGATTGATAATCCTACATATATTATGTTGAATATATAATGAGAAAGATTTTTATTCAATTACACAAAAACTGCTGTACAGATTTAGATGAAAATTTGTACGCATTTAGTTTATAACCCGATATTGAGACACAAGATAGTTTTTTTCCCGAAAAATTTTTAAGTTCCCATGGGTTACTCAAAAAACTAAATCATGCCAGAATCGGGTGACGTCATTTTAGTCTTCGCCAATCCCATGCGTTCTAGGTCACGTGACCATAGAACTAAAACATAATTTTCATACAATATTTTTTTTCGAAATGCTATTAATTTATTTGTTAAGAATAGTTAATTCGGTGCTAATATTAATTAATACTTAAGCCCGCAATTGGTACTGGTATATTTTTCATATTGTCAAATAGCCCATTTAGTCCAGTCACTTTAGGGAAAAAAGGGTCAATCTTGGAATTTGAGTTAGTAAACTGGCAATTTTTTATCTTTAATTTTCATAATAGGTCTTGAAGTGATTGGAACCATAGAAACGGAGATAATTGCAAAAAAAAACTATTTTCGTGACCTTTGACCTCGAATAACTTACGATGCAGACACGAGCTAATATAAGACTATTGAGACAACTTTTAGAACGCCAAAGTCAAGCTGTTCACATGTTTCTAGTTTATTATCTCAAATTCAGAGGTGAAACCCTAAAGTGACTGGAGTAATAGGGTATTTGACAAGTTTTAGAAAACGATCTCACGTTATTTGTAATGCGATTCAAATAAGAATAGGAAAGCCAATGACCTCCATCTGTCAAATGTCGCATGAAAAGTACGGTTTGCAAAAAAACTCGGAACACATTTTTTGCACTCTGCTGATTCTAGAATAAAAACTAAACATATTTTAACACAAACAATGACAAATGTTGATAATTAATATTAGTTCACTTTTTTTTCATTTATTGAGCTATGGCTATGAATGGTTGATAACCTAAATCGTCAACCAAATGTCACTTTATGTTGCGTTCAGAAACTCGATTTAAAACTTTCTTTTACTTAAAGGATGCATGTTCGTATGTGATCTGCATGATTATTCATAACTCCTCCGGCGGTAATGCAGAGATGAGCGAAATTGAAGAGCTAGATTCTGATTAATGTTTTTTTTTCACACAGTCCTAATAAAGAAATACTATTAAAAATCGGTTGTGTTCTTTCTCAACCTTAGTAAATTAATTTTATTAAAAAATCAGATGTTTTGTCTCACTTAATCTAAGTAAATAAGTTTTATTAAATAGCAACATTTTTTTGCTCACTCTACCTATTTGGTTTGATTTAACAGCTATGACGTCAAAATATGGCGCCCAGTCGGTCCTATTCTTAGTTGAATCGCATTATACTAATTTTTATAGAGACCATAAAAAGTGCATATTCATCATAATGTTGTGTATTTCGGTAAAAAAAAAAACAAATCACAAACTCTATTTTCAAGTTGCCGCGAAAAACGTATCTCTGCACCACTGGTGTGTGACGTCACACGACTGTCATTAAAACGTCAAACCATACAATCAAATGTCACTTTAACCGGAAGTTTACTTGCGTGTGACGTCATTTTAGGCTCCACCAATCCCAAGCCTTTTGGGTCACGTGACAATAGACAAGAAAACTATTAGCTTTATCGTGGGTTTTAGTGACATTATGAATATTTTTCCTGTAAAAATAGTAAAAACTCCTGCCAATATTCATTCTAAATACAGATGCTAACAATTGGCACTTTATTTTTAATACTGTCAAATATTCTATTGTCGTGAATGCTAGAAATGTTTTATTAATTCAATTAATTCCCAATCAGGTCTCATCGCTATATTCTTGCCGCGCGATCGCATCCTCACCCTAGTATACGCTTCTTTGGGTGCTCTGCTATTCTCGTTCTACTTGATCTACGACACTCAACTCATGATGGGCGGAAAGCACAAGTATTCCATATCCCCCGAAGAATATATATTCGCTGCTTTGAACCTTTATCTGGATATAATCAACATATTCCTGTACATCCTCACTATCATCGGCGCTTCGAGGGATTAGGACGAGAACTAAGGGCAATAGGTCTTAGGGCATTCCTTATTACAACGCTGCAAAGTTGTTTTTTGATGTCTTTAATGTAACTGCGTTTTTGTTTTCATCCTTATTGCAAAAATGTAAGGTTCAAAATGAGTTTCTTTAATACGATCGAAATGTGTTTTGTGATTTTTTCTTAGTCTATAGTCGTGTGTTTTGATAATATATTGATACGATTGTCACCCATGTTGCAATGATAATAGGGAATATATCTGCTTGAACCGTTCATGTATTTGCAATGGCGTACATATTTTTTACTTAAAATCTAAGTCACAGCTCCTATGGTAGAATAATTTCATTGGTAATTTTTTTTCACTCTGGCTAATACTAGCTGTTGACAAGTTTTGCCATTTATACTTATCACTTAACTTCTTAAAATCTTTACACGTAATAAAGACACTGGTCTTCTATAAAGTGATTAACTCTACGCAGATGTATATAAGAAAAATGCAACGTTTTGTACTGCAATAAACTCTAATTTTGTGTCTACTCTAGACAAACGGCTTTTCTCATAATCGAATTTTATCTTAAATGTATTATTAATTGATACAATTAACTTGTAATCATATTATAAGTTAATTCCTTTTTTAATATTCGATTTGTATTAAAGAGCTAAGTTACATGTTAATAAGGCTGTATACGGTGTCACTTTGATTTTATATACACGCTTAGTTGTAAATAAAATTAAATCAAATAAACCACGAACGAAAACGGCTCATGTTACGCGCAATGTGTGCGTGACTCTAATGACATATTGTTTTAAAGCAATCAATGTGTGCGTGTGTAGCGACGAGCTTATCTACCATATGTAGTAGATATTTTTTTCGGCGCTCCCGTGTAGTTAATACGATATCTAAACGTGTATATTATCAAAGGGTGTCATTATGGTAACGTAAGTGACAAAAAAATTAACAAGTACTTATTTAGTTTTTCTGATCTTAATACGAAAGTGTTTGGAACTGTCCATAGGCAAAGAGAATTGCCAGAACAACACTTGTGTAAAATTGACAACTATCTAGGAGATAAAAGTGATGGTGCTGTCAATATATAGGTGAACTATTGACCGCACGGTCGCTTCGTCTCTCTCACACTTATCCATTCTCTATGTCTATGGACTGACCATAGTCTATCTCGCTTACGTTGCTAAAATGACACGGCTAACATCCGTAAAGCCGTACGAAATATTTTTTGGAATTGCCATTTATTGTAATGTGTTACTTGTAAAATGGTAACAATGTCATGGCTGAAGGATTTATTAAAAGTATTATTTATTTGGCTTTAAATAAATTGATTTCACTTTTTTTTGTATATTGGAAACATAATATAGTACGTTTTCTATGCAGCTTGATTTATAATGAAACATTACAATTGTAGAAATATGTTGTCTTATTTAAGGTGGTGTTGCATTTATATAAAACTTAAAGATATATAATATGGAATGACCGTTGCCCTTATGAAAAATGAAAGATACAATAATTAGATATAACGAAACGCTTCAGCTAGCCGATGATACTAAAGTTTAGAACTAAACGCGTCCTCTCATTAAAATTAAACGATATTAATGTTAGGTGAATGGAGTATTTAACCCATAACTTCTTAAAATATTGTAATGTTTATTTTATAGTTTGGCCAGAGAATTGCTAAAAAATGCAGGACCTAAAATCGGCAAAAGATACTGTAACTCATATGATATACTTACGTACTTTTATATGGATAAAAGCAATAATGATCTTTATTTCTAAGTGTTTCGGCATATTATAACCATTCCAAAACTCTGGTCAAACTATAACGACTTTAAAATTTAGTCTAGGTAACGTATTGTTTGTCGTAACTTTATCTAGCATATTTAAATAATAATTTATTTAGTTACGATGTTGTTACATAAAGGAGGGCTAGTAACTGAGAATTAATCTGTCCCAATTCGCTAAAATTGATCAACGTAGAACTTAACACGAGTGTGTGGTATAAATTCTTTTGAATATAACTTGAAATTTTACTTCAGTTTATAGTCTGCCCTTCACTTGGCTATTCTTGTTTATATTTGTAAACTTGACATCACTCTATCCTTTTCATACCTTATTAAGTATAATAAGGACAGACTGTTGTCCACTTCACAAATAGCAAACACGAATAGCCAAGCGAAGTGCCAGCATTATAATAATGATATCCTTTTTGCCAGATTTTTTTATTGTTGGCAAAAGTAACAAGAGAGGCTAACAATTTTATTATTGAACAGCATAGAAAGAATGTGTATTTAAATGTAACTACATTTATATATACTCATATTCTTCATTTTATCGTATGCCAGCGCTCCTGATGGCTGTTTATATTTGCTATATGTACATTTGACAGGACAATATAAAACCTTATCATATTCTAATAGGAAATGAAACGGAAAGACTGCTGGTAAATTTTCAAATAGCCATGTTATAGCAAAAAAAATCATGCACATACACTTCTGTTGCAATTATTCATAATTTTTAAAAAAAAATCTAATGTATATAGCAAACACACAGAACACACTATGCATTAATAATCATGCATTTTTTTAATTTGCGTAATTTTGCAGTGGCTCAGTTTTGTCGAGGCAGCTTTCCTACTTAATAAAGTTGATTGATGTTAGCGAGTGGAATTAAATCTCTCCTTTATGTTCACTGTGTTAGAGTGTATAATTGTATGTATTATTTTCATGTAAAGAAAGTGACTTGAAGAAGTAAACTGATGTTTAAAACAAACCTTACCTTATTGGACTGAAGAAGTGTCTTTTTTTATATCTTTGCGAAGGTTTCGGGCGAAATTACAATAGACAGCCTTATATATAAATAAATTTCCTAAAAGTGAGCTTAGTTTTTGAATATTTCCTTTTCTTTTGTGAACTTATTATTGTTTGGCATGAAAATATATCTATTTAGTGTTTTAGCTTACAAGTTTACACAAAAAGCACTTTTCACAAATACTCTTTATAATAGTGATGAACCAAAGCGACTTTGATCCACAAATGAAAACAGTACAAATGTTATACTTACTATTAAATTAAAATTAACACCGCCAGTATTTGTTTTATATGAAATTGTTATAAATATTGGTGGTACGTATAGTATATAAAAAGAAATATTAATAAATGGGAATATTTTGTTATTTTATGTCGACTGTTATAACCGTTTTATTGTGTTTAGTTACCGACCTGTGTTTTATTTCATTATATTATTTTGAAAGTTCTTAAGATTTTTTTTCTAGAATAAATTCCACGCGGTCTAGCCCTGATGGCTGGGATGGACCGCGCAGATTTATTTCTGGTAAAATTTTCTTAAGATTTACAAAACCTAGCAGTTAAATTCCTAAAATTAAAAGTATAATGAAACTATATAAAAGTTATTTAGTACCTACGTCCGAAATATCTGTCGCTACTGTTGTAAAAAAGTCGCCGCTTTACAGTAGATGTAAGTTCCAATAAATAATTATTACAATTATGTCTACCAATTTGTTGTTTTATTTTTAGCATACCTCGATTCCTATGATGAAATAAGTAGGTAAGTAAATTATTAAACGACCAAAACCTTCACATCGTTATTTGTCTCAAAAGCTCTATTATTTTGTTCTTCTTTTTGATCAAACCTGAAGCATTTTTTAGAGGCAAAAATGCTTCAGGTTTGATCCTATCCTATTAGTGGAACCACGAACAAAATTACCCTTAGTAAGATTTGAGTCTCAATTATTTATAGTTTATGTAGCCTTATTCTGTGGCTAGGCATACTTTATTTTTTCTAAGTGGCTTCGCACGGCTTGTGCATTTAACCAATGTCAAGTGTTAAATGTAGGTATACAAATACTCTCTCGTGGTCAAAGTAATAAGTCAAGTCAAAGTAAGTGGCAGTCAAGTCAATCCCCCTTTCCCCATGTTTCAGTAAAAGTGTAGGGATTTACTGCACTTCTTGAGGGAACGTCGAAAGACACTTTCCGCTATTTTGTTTCACTTGCTAACACTTGCATGTTCCCGAACACTTAGTGGTTAATAATCCACCATTATTAGACACTAACATCCGCCACAACACAATTTTTAACAAGAAAAACAAAACTGCTAAACTGACGCTTCCCGATCCCGCCAAAAAGTCCAAGGCATACTTTCTATTTTATGGTGTTGCTTGTATTGCTGATGCGCATGAACATGCCCATGTATGGCTATGATAAATCTAGTAAGTAAACCAATATGATTTTTGTTATAAACAGGATTGGTAGGTCCAGCCATTGCGTTGGTCCCAGCTGCATCTGAAATAAATTGAAATTATACTTAATACAAATTGACTTATTGAAAGCTCTTTCGAATCGTCCAATATTTTTTCCTACTACCCCATTCAGAACATCTTTTAGCTCATGAAAACATTTACAAAAAAATCATGTCGCTACCAATACTATATTATATTTTGTATTTATATTTATATATTATATTTTGTATATATTATATTATATTTTGTATTTTATATTGTTATTAGTATTATTTGAATAAAGATATATTTATTATTATTATTAATACAACGTCCGCTCACATTTTCATTGCAGTGTCATACAGTGTAAATACGAACAGTGTTCATATTAGGTATACAAGATAAAAACTCAAGAGTTACGCAGTATAGAGCAGACTCATCCCCGCTGGCAGCACCCGTTTACGAGCATGACGCATGAGCCAGCCATCGCTTCGCTCAACTGTATTTTATCCGGAACGTATCGACCCGCCTCACACGACGATGTTACAGTTAAATGTTTAAAATAAATATAATAAACATAATTTGTTTCTTAGGTTTTCACGCACATCACTCATTAAATAAAACTAGTTTTTACGGGTTAATGCACGAAACTTTATTTATTTATTGACGATTCGTAACTTTTGTTTCAAAACAAAAGTTTTATTCTGACGACGAAGCCTGTAAAGGCTACGAAACGTCAATAAATAAATAAAGTTTCGTGCATTAACCCGTAAAAACTAGTTTTATTTAATAAACATAATTACCACTCGTCACCGGAGCGGACAAAGCTAGGGGTGACTAGCGGGAATGACCGTGTTTTTCTCCTGTAGAATAAGCCTGTGCCCTGGATTTGAATGGGGTTTTTGACCTAAATACATATAGTGTTGGAGAACCAACAGCTGTTAAAACATCAATACATATTAGTATTTACTGCCTTCGAAAGCAGACGGGCCACCTGATGTTATGTGTCACCGTCGCCCATGGACATCAACAATGCCAGTGACACAGCGTTTGAAGAGGACCCATGTTATAGCATTGTGGGTGCACCATGGAGGGGAGCTCATTCCATAACTTTATCGAGTTGAATTAAATGAGCCTCCCCCTCCCCCACGACAACAGCTAACTAAAGCAGAGGTCCGAGACTCAGAGATGCCCTCTAGTTGAGCAGACCACCTCGGGCTCGAGTGGTCTAGATGCTCCAGACGGAGAGGAGACTCCCCCCGTGGGGAGATGCCATCCGCCTGGAGTACCTCTAGAGGTACTCGCCAATTCTCGGCTTGAGGTCCCCTTAGGATCTCGCCGTCCCCAAACCCGGTGACGCTGTAAAGGTCATTTGCGACCAACAACATACACACTCGAAAACAAATGAGCCTGATATAAGTTTTTACAGATAGTATATCTTATATCCTACATACTATATAAGTATTATACTAAGTATAGTATATTTTACTAAAAAATCGCGAAACATATCACTCACGGATACTGTAGAAAACATGTGTCCCACAATCAATATAGCAACACCTAATTTAATTAAGTACATAGGTGTACCTACCTAATTATCAAGATATACGACAATCACTCACGCGCGCCTATGTGCTTATCATTGGACGTGCTAAGTATTTATCAGGAATAATATCATAACTGCACATTACCTACATCCACCGTTGAGTGAAAACAGATGTAATTAATAACATTTCTAATTTATTAATAGTGCGTGATTGTGACAATGTGGGTACTTAGTTTGATCGGTTTAATTTCACTGGTTCTTTTATACAGTTTGAGATGTAAAGATTCGAAGCCCATCTTTGGTGTGTATACAGTGGCCGGAAAATGGTATTATCTGAAGTATGCTGTGTTTGCGCTGATTTATTATTTCAGAAAGGTAAGTATTTTATTTTTCTTATCAGCCGTGTGCCTATAAGTATTTTTTATCATCATAATATCTGCAGTTGTCATCGTTATAATTTTCGCATCAAGTAAGGTGATCATGTTTCCCCACTATTCGTATACATATTTAAATGTTAATTCAATTATTTACAGACTTCCTATAATGCCAAATTTCATCCTAACTCAACTGATTGAACGTGAATTAAATCGACGAACATAGACAACAATCAAGAATTAACTACCTACATATAAGAATTATGACTTTCGTATATAATTCTTGTATTTTAATCTTAGATTATTTTAATGTCAATTCTACCGGTATTGCTACATAACAAAATCAACGGAGGTATTAAATCCTTTAAAATGCCTGATTTTTTTCTAAACATTGACTGATTGATTTAATAAGATGTGTAAAAATATAAAGTATAAGTAATATATAAGCAACGTTGGTGTCGATTTTGGCATGATTCTCTAAACCTAAACTTAAAGACAACAGTTTACCATTCTTGTCATTCTCTATACATAATGAAAAGGAGAGACTGATGTAAAATTTAGAGAATCACGCCAGGTATTTAGAGAATCACGCCGTTATTTCCCTATCCTGTCTGTTACAATCTGTTAACGATCCACAGACAAGGGCGGATCCAGCTTCGACGCCAGGGGGGTCATATAGTCGTGGTCAAGTCATAAAAAGTTTTAATTAAATTTTGTTAATAAAAGATACAAGTAAAAAGTAGGTATGTACCCAGCCCAGGGGGGGTCATGACCCCCATGACCACTCCCCTGGATCCGCCCTTGTCCACAGACCACACTATACAAAACTGTCAGAATTCTCCAAGCAATTCCCAGCCTTTAGCTGATCAAAAGTTCAACATCTATACAAAAAGTGTTGCAATTTTTGGTAACTTGCCTAGTTGTTACTCTGTACAGATGAAATTAATACAGTTGTCTGTATGCTATAATATCTAATTATAAATTCCGATATAATAATGACTCGGGAACAAGTATTTGTCCGTATCACCAGAAATGGGGTACTTGTTCAGCATGGATGGGAACCCTTGACGTAGTAGTGGCAGAAGGAAGAAGCGCCGTCTTTGCATCAACTGGTTGTCAGGTCTTTTCTAATCCATCGAATGCTAACTTTTAAAGTTTAGAAATTAATAATACTTTTATTTTAAATAACTGGCAACTATTTTTCAATTCCATGCAATAATGAAACTAAACAATGTTTGATATAGAACCAAAGGAAGTTTTAAGTTTAAAACATCATTGGCTTGCGACCACTCATTGCATTGTTTATATTTAATTGATTTTTAATTTCAAAGTAATGCTCTAGTTTGGTTTTATGACCAGACCGTCAGAATAATACAGTGTTCTGAGACTAGATCAGTCCTTAAAGAAAGTAATCACTCTACATGTTTACCCGTCATGCATGTGTTGTATGACTTTCGTACAGGTAAAGTTACCAAAAAAATAAAACTAAACTCAATCGATATTGTGCTTTAATGACTTCATAATAAGATTCACAAAAAACAAGATTTTACAGTTTTTGGTAGCTTATTATGTTGCTGTTGTTACCTATCTGTCTTCGAGAATTATAATTGTATTATCATAACAAAACACTGTTATCGACTCGGATTATAAGATTGATTGAAATCAGTTGAACCGTTTTCAATGTCCTTTTCATAGACTGGATCAGATAACTTTGATTCGCCCAAGGGCGGTGATGTCATCCAAGAGAATTTAGCAAACACAAAACAGCACCGTTCAAGAGAATTGCGAATATCCCTCCTGAATTCCTCCGAATCGTTTTGTTTTGCGACTGTAAACAAATTTAAAATAATTGTCTCAGTATGATAGAGTATGTGTGGAAAGAGAATGGGATTTAGATTGGAGGGCGCTGTAGTGCTTTTCTACCGTATTTGTAAGGTTTTACCCGTTTAAGACATGATTGAATACAAAAAACCGCAAGAAATCACAACAACAAACAAATCTGTATCAATACAGAACTTTGACGTTATACAGATTGCTGGGTTTGATTGCCAAATAAAAATCTTAATGTTAGTTCCGTTTTTCGCCACGCTCATTAGTCATAACGACCTTTGGGTATCCAACGATGGTTACCATAATATAGTCCATAACGACCTTTGGGTATCCAACGATTGTTACCATAATATAGTTCATAACGACCTTAGGGTATCCAACGATGGTTACCATAATATAGTCCATAACGACCTTTGGGTATCCAACGATGGTTACCTTTCTGGTGAAGTATATTCTCCTTGTAACAAGAAATTGGAGCCATTTAACGTTTTTATGAAACTGCCCAACAGCTTCCGTATCTGAGAAAGGGACCTGTGGTCATCATTTTATTCGCTTGAACGCTAACGCACCTTTGCTTATGGAACTTGTAAATCTTATAGATTGATTTTGTTTGTTGTTTAAACTTTAAAATGTGTTAATAGTTAGCTTGTGTGTAATTAATTTGTGATTCGAAAAAGCAACAGCGTAACCAGTCCTAACTTTAGGGTACAAGTCCGAACTGAACCGCAGACCACAGGCCGCAGCTGCAGACTGCAGGCGACACTACTAGTTTCTATGAATCTCTATAAAATTGATTCCGAGCGCGGCGACATGCCGCGGCTGCAGAATGCATTTAATGCACGGTCAGCCGCAGGCGCTAGCCGCAGTGACGCCTGCGGTTGTCGCCTGTAGCCCATTGCGGAATAGGCATGATGACTATTTTTTTTCGTTTATCAGATAGACTATCAAAAAGGAATGGACACGTATTTTTTCTTTTCTCACATAATATAAACATTGTAGTGATATATTGTTTGGAGAGTCGCATGACGTCACGTTTTGGTACAATTTTCACTTAAAAGTGACGTCACGAGCCTCTACTCCCAAACTTTGACGCGCTATAACTTTGTCATTTTTTGGTTGATTGCCCAAAGAAAAAATACGTGTCCATTATTTTTTGATCATCTAACTGACGGACTAAATAGAATTTCGTTAACTGTACCCCATCATCACCCCTATTGTACCTTTATTCGTTCGTTTTTATTATTCGTTAAAAGTTCGTGTTCAATCTTATAGACAAATGTCTAAGCTCATACAACTAAACCTTGATTTCTTTCTAAGTCTTCTTGTAAGAATGCATGGCTTCGTAGTGCCAGATTTGAGCTAACAATTTATTTACAGTATGCAAATAAAAACTCAGCAGCTGGGACGCGAGGGCGAGCGGGGCAGGGCGTCAAAGCTATAGCGGATCCGGCCTCCATGGACCGTGCACAATGCTTCAGTGATCACGCTAAGGTACGATCATCATCCATTACGATTGAAATCGATAGAGAAGTCTATGGTCGGTTAAAATAATAAATATTTCAAACACTTACACCAATTAGCTCAGCCCCAAAGTAAGTACTGTAAGGCTTGTGTTATGGGATACTAGGGTGACGGATTACAGTATTAATGTATTCTATCCGTCACCGTATTTCTAGATAAATATTTATATGTATATTAGTAATACATATATAAGTATATTTATCTAGAAATACATATCAACATCCATGACTTAAGGTACATTTGCTCCGACGGGATTAAACTCTGAGTAGGCGACATCAAAACCTTGAAACCTGGCGTAGATACCACTCGCACTACGAAGATCGAGTGTTTCTAACAATTTACTGCAGTAACCGGAAATTACAGATTCATGTGTCTTCCGAATTCCTGATGCTTAAAATCTGACGAATGACCATTACGATAGTTGCTCAACTTCCACAATCGCACTGAAATTTCTACAAGAAATAAATGAAACTATCTAAATTTTTTTTAAATAAATAAATATTTCCAACTCTCACACCAATAAGCCTAGCCCCAAAGTAAGCACTCTATGCTTGTGTTATGAGATGCTAGGGTAACGGATAGAATACATATACTATACATATATAAGTATATTTATATAGAAAATACATATTTAACATCCATCACTGGAGTACAAATGCGTATTCATCACACAAACATCTGCCCCCACCGGGATTTGAACCCGGGACCTCTCGAGTCGGCGACACCATGAAACCCGGCGTACAAACCACTCGGCCACGGAAGTCGTCGTCGGAGGTTTTTACTAGTAATAATAATAATTAACTACCTAGTCCTTGTATTAGGCTGGAATCGTGCCAGCATCCTTCCCTACCAACACTTTGCTACCAGGACTAACAGTTTTTTCTTTGTATAAATTCCCTTTAGTTACTAAAAACTGGAAATAATATTCTGAGTTATTTATTATACTTTCAGCATTGAACTGCTAGACTTGTAACTCTAAAGAAATGACCGAGTTCGAGTCCTGTCTGAAACATGGACTGTGTGGATTTTTTTGGAAATTGTCGGATATACTGTACTTCCCGGGCCCAAGAGGTGATACTTCACACTAGGTTAGGTTAGTGGCGTGACCATAGCACGGTAACCATAGCGCGCGAGCCGAACGAGCAAAAGGAGCGTGCCGCGGTAGCGGCATGCTAAGCGCCAGAAAAAAAAATCGTTAGTTGAAACCTCTTGGGTCCATGAAGTACAGTTTTACCAAATTTTCTTCACATTAATAATATTCTAACTGCTTTTCACACTGCAGGCTTTCGACGCAGTTTTCTTCATATCGGCGTCGAGGAATGAAGATGACAAGGGCATCTACGTGATTTCCGGCTGCGAGAGGAGGCCCATGGGCATGTGCAACGCATTATTCTACATAGGGGTATGTAATACAACACTGGCAATACTTCTTTTTTAGCTTCTATTGTTTTTTTATTTAAAACTTTCATCGTCAATAACATGTACGGTACAGCGGTAATGCTAGCATGTATCTAGGTATTCTATAATATATTAATTTTACTGATAATAATGAGAGAGACAAAGTTATGTGAAGCCAAAACAACATCAGAGGAGGATTCAAATCTGCAAGAGCATTGCAAACATGTTCTGTTGGCTAAGTACAAATTTTATTCTCCGTTTGTAATAACAGTACACAATTGCATTAGAATTTCAGATGTATGTATTTCAATATTATCAGTAAAATATATTTAGGTGTTATAATAATAATACCTATATACAGGAACAATGAACCTAAAACTAAAAACCCTTAAAAATATAATATAATAACTAAAATATATTATTGAAATGAGTCCCTTAAGGCAAGGTTCCGAAGATACTGGCAGCGTTCCTCCTTTGAATAGCTAAACTAAATCTTTGTCCGAGGTAGCTGCCAGCTCTTCAGTCTCCAGTGTTGAGTCGACTCCATGTCGACTAACCTTTTTGATATTTCCTTAAAAAAACATATAGCGCTAGGACCCCACGGACCAAGGGTCTCGACACCGAATGGGACAAAATCATATTCGGAGCCTAGACCCCTGTATTTGCAGCTCTGTTGTTGGTTCCATGTAGATGGGAAGGGGCCAGCGTGTCTGAACAGGTTGCATCCCATACCAATACCCGGCCCATCTTCCATGAAATCAAACTCATACCGTCCGGTCTCTTACCATCGTCTCGTGCAATACCAGTCGGCTCAAGTAGACTTAGCACGTTGACGGTGGCAAGGGACCGGCGTATGATATCGTTAAGTGCGGCATGTCTCGAGAAGCGGCCGGCATGACAGTCCGTGATCACAGCCAATCATTATCAGTTGTCTTATAAATATCAATATGTCAACAGTTGCCTGGCAAAGGTCTGCTCTGCAGCAAAAGGCTTCCAGACACAGTTTTATTCGGTGCTCAAATTGGCGAGTTCGGAGCTGAAGGCATCAAGATGACGCCGGTGGAGCCGATGACCAAGTGGGCTGTCACATACAAAGGGCAGATGTGGTGAGCATCTATTAATATCGCTATCATCAACATCAAACAATTGATCTCCCCAATGCTGTTACAGACCTGCTCTGTTGGTGGAATAGCAAGAAAGGATATCATTTACTACGCTGGCCCAGTACGCATTGGTGGGTGCTAAGCTGATGACCATGACCATTACCATTGGCCACCAAGTGGGCCAATTACCATTAGCTATCAAGTAGGTCACCATTGGTGTCGAACGCGGACGGGGAACACAGGTGATGGAGAGGGATGAGGAGGGGGAAATGTCAGATTCTGGAATACCGTCCCTTGTCATCTATGGCCACGAAATTGGTCAAATTTTTTACTATGAAGATTCCATGCTGTGCTTTTGCCATATCATGTGGGGAGAGGGAGAGGATTTTTTTCTTTTCCTTCTTTCTTTTCTTTAAAAGCTCGGAGGCGCTCGAGATAATAAGTTTTTGGTCACCCATCTAATAAGCCACCATTGCGAGTTTCTTTACTTTCACGTTTGAATGCGCTAACTACCTGCGCCAACCAGGTCAAATTTAGTTTATCAAATTATTTTCAAAATTATTTTTGTGAGTGTCATAGTCGACTTTCTTCGCATTGCATGAACTTATAGGTTCAGCCTTATAATATGTAAAAATCGTTTGAGCAGGTATATATGCTCGATATATCTTCTGCGGAACAACTAAACTCCAAGCTCTTCTTTTTGATTCACTTCTTCGAGTGCATCGATAGATTTAAGAGTTGCCTTATTCTCTTCCAAGGCTACAGAACGAGCCCGATAAATTCGTGGATGTGGAATTCCAAGGGGAGTGGCTGGCCACCAGCAAGTACTTCGACTACGACTGCGACCTGCACCCGCCGGCCGTCATCCGCTCCATCGCCAGGGAGAAGTGGAGCAGGGCCTACTTCCAGGGCTTGAAGACGTAAGGATAAGAATAACTTTAAAGAAAATATTACTAGAAAAAATTCCACGCGGACCAGGCAGCAGACGGGACTCGAACCCGCACCCTTCGCAATCCGGGCGAATGCACTGACCAATTATGCTACCGCGGCCCTCACGGACCGCGTCGAAATTGTTCTAACCATTCTTAAGCTGCAAGGCAGCGCCATCTCTTTGCATTATAGGTAACCCACAATGTCTTGTGCCTTGCAGCTTAACAATGGTTAGAGGAATTTCGACGCGCTCCGTGAGGGCCGCGGTAGCATAATTGGTCAGTGCATTCGCCCGGATTGCGAAGGGTGCGGTTTCGAGTCCCGTCTGCTGCCTGGTCCGCGTGGAATCTTTTCTAGTTATATTTTCTTTAGATTTAAACATCTAGCAGTTAAATGCTTTAAAAAAATTAAAAAATAAGTATAACTTTTCTTTGAGCACCTATAAACCTTTAAGTCCGGTCGGGGTATTCTTTCTTTGTCCGGTCAGATTATTCTTTTGACGACCTCCGTGGCCAAGTGGTTTATTCGCCCAATTTCATGGTATCGCCGACTCGAGAGGTCCCGGGTTCGAATCCCGGTGCGGGCAGATGTGAATACGAGCATTTGTACTCCAATCATGGATGTTTCATATATGTTTCTATATAAATATACTTATATATTTACGTGTATGTAATCTATCCGTTACCCTAGTATTCCATAACACAAGCCTTACAGTGCTTACTTTGGGCAAGGCTAATTAGAGTGAATGTTGAATTTTTTTTTTTTATTTTTTTTAAACCAATTTCATATGTAGGTACTATACATTGTTGTACCTAATTCATAGAGCAATGTGAATGCTAATAGTTTATTGGTTTACCCCAACACAAAAACCACGATACAAGTGAAATTTGGTTGATATGAATAAAACACGGCGTAACTGTTCTAAGTTTATATCTCGTTTATTAATAAGGGGGGTAGTGTTGTTCAGGGCCGGATTTAGGATTGTGGAGGCCCCGGGCCACTTAGGATTTGTATGCTTATTGACCCATCGAAATGTTGTTATTTCTGAAGCTGTTGTGGAGGCCCCTGGGCCACGGCCCCACCTGCCCTACCTTAAATTCGGCCCTGGGTAAAGGTAAAAGAGCAAAAAAAAATCAAAGGCAAAGATATTTACTAGTGTTTACTAGTTGGAATTTGAAAGTTTTTTTTTCCGAAGTCTCTATTGTGGTTGCCCCCGTTTGTGGAGGCCCCGGGGCTTTCGCCCCGGTTACCCTCCCCTAAATCCGGCAGTGGTGTTGTTGTATATCGCCTCTTCAACAATCTACTATCTTCTACAATCTTCAGTGCCGTCTTTAACCTATTGGAGGCCCTGGGCATATTAGGATAATGGGGCCCCTATGACTATGATGTGAATTATGACTTGAAATGGAGCGAGTCACACTGATGATTTTTCTTTAAAATAGCTTAGTATACCATTATATTATATTTAGATTTATCTAAGCATGCTGATGTCGGAAAGCCTAATTTTTAGGCGAGAGTAGAATAGCTTCGCGCATGTAAAAGCTAGTAAGTTAGTATTGTAGTCAGTAATTTAGGTTCGATTTCCTCGAATTATATAAGTTTTTTGGTAATAAATATTGGTTATCGTTTGGTGATCTGACAGGAACTAGAGACTTTGTATTTGATCTGAGGGGGGCCCTTATCCATCGCGGAGCCCTAGGCACTTGCCCAAAGTGCCCACTGGGAAAGAGGGGTCTGACAATCTTTATTACATTCATAATATCTAAAATTACAAATGTTAAAATAGAGATACGAACTTTCTACCACACTGAACCACAGACGCTTGTTGCTAAGGTCTGATGTTTTTAATAATATTTGAAAATTAAATGTGTCGTGCTAAAGATTAACAAAAAAAAAATAGAGGCGATGTAATAAAAGTTTCACTTTAAAAACTACAGTAATAGGGTATTTCACAAGTTTTGGAAAACGATCTCACGTTACTTACTAATGTATATGGAGTCCATAAAAAGTGCATATTCATCATTCTCTTGTGTATTTCAGTATAAATAACTAAATCAAAAACTCAATTTTCAAGTTGCCGCGAAAATGTTTCTCTGGGCAATATGGCGTCTCACAGGTGTGTGACGTCACACGACTGTCATTAAAACGTCAAACGATACAATGTAATGTCACTTTGACCGGAAGTTTACTAGTGTGTGACGTCATTTTAAGCTCCGCCAATCCCAGGCGTTTTCAATCACGTGACAGTAGATATGAATACTATTATCTTTTTAGTGGGTTTTTAGTATAATTATGAATATTTTTTCTGTAATAATAGTAAAACCGCCTGCCAATATTCATTCTAAATACAATATTTAGCTCTCAAATTTGATTTAAGTTCATACTGGTGTCAATTCTGGCATGACTCTCTAAATATAAATTTAACATCCGTCTCTCCTTTTCATTCTGTATAATATACATATAGAATGACAAGGATACACTGTTTTCAAATTTAAGTTTAACTTTAGAGAACCCTGCCAGAATCGACACCACTTTCTGCTTTTCGCATTAACAATAGAACACGATATCAAATTTAATTGTCATTTCTAGAGTGCAGCTATGAGGCCTGCTATTAAGTAACAGTAATTTGTAACTACTTTGTCTTTTTGACTAAATAATGTTAAAATTTCCACACAGAGCACATCAGTCCCATTACGAACAGTTTGGTGTATTGAAATGCCAATTCAAAATAGACGGCGAAGCCTTCGAGTACTCCTTGCCGTCTTTCAGGGATCACAGTTTTGGTAAGTCACATTCAGAATCTTGTACATCATCATCAGCCTCTTAATGTCCCCACTGCTGGGGCACAGGCCTTCCTTATGGATGGAATCCCTATTCCATTGGCCATGACCCACCACGCGGGTCCAGTGCTAACGACTACAGATACAGCCGGGAACCACGGCATAACGTGCTTTCCGAAGCACGGAGGAGCTTGAGATAGTAAATTTTTGGTCACCCATCCAATGACCGACCAATGCGACAGTTGCTTCACTTCAAAAATCGCAAACGCAAAAAATGCCTCGGGCGCCAGGCTTCCTATGCGTTATATATATATTTTTTTAAGTATTTATTTGCTAGCTGTTTAAATCTAAAGAAAATTATATTACAAAAAAATCCACGCGGACCAGGCAGCAGACGGGACTCGAACCCGCACCCTTCGCTTTTCGGGCGAATGAACTGACCTGATTGATTGTGGGTAACCTACAATGCGAAAAGATGGCGCTGCCTTGCAGCCTTAGAAATACTAGAGAAGATTCGACACGGTCATCAGGGCCGCGGTAGCATAATGGTCAGTGCATTAGCCCGGATAGATAGGGTGCTGGTTCGTGTCCCGTCTGCTGCCTGATCCGCGTGGAATTCTTTCTAGTAAGATTTAGATTCCAATGCGTTGTCAATATACATTTATGAGATAAACTGCTCAGATGTAGAATTTATTCGCAAAACGCCGCTTTCCAAAATGTGTCTTTTTGAAAAATTCACGCCATTTTTAGGTCGGGGGTAGTAGCACAGATTAATTAATGATTAATTGGTTATGGTAGTAGGGTTTATGCCATAATAGGTATATTAGAAAAATAATCATGAAAGAGCATTTAGCGTAAGGTTCATTCTACGACTGAGTCGTTTATGACAACGCGGAAGACTGGCTGTTTGGCTTCCAAGGTCTCCACCCTCGGAGCACCCCCGGCGATATTTGTAGTAGTCGAAGTTAAATCTATTTATAACAAGTATCCCAGTTTTACCGAAATAGGGAAGCAGGGACAGCTAATAAAAGGTCGAAAAAAAGTCAATGTGTGTCAATTCTGACACGATTCTCTAGACCTAAAATTAAATTTGACAACAATGGTGTCGATTCCGGCGTGATTCTCTAAACTCAAAACTAAATTTAACATCAGTCTGTCCTTTTCATTCTGTATAGAGAATGACAAGGATACACTGTTGTCAAGTTTAGATTTAGAGAATCGTGCCAGAATCGACACCATTGTATCGTTGTCATTCTCTTTATGGAATAAAAGGAGAGATTAATGTTAAATTTAGTTTTAAGTTTAGAGAATCACGCCAGAATCGAAACCAATCTTGACCTAACCACGATTATTGGAAACTTTTTTCTATACGATTCCTGATGATGATAAATTGATCGATGGTACTACTATTTTGTTGTTCCCAGGCGTTACGCGCGACTGGAGTCTCATGCATCGGTACGCTTTCCATCACATCTTCTTACAAAACGGCATCAATATCAGCGTCGGAGTCATATGCCAGCCGTCAACTGCCACGACGTAAGTTATGTTATGAACTTTCTTTTAGAAAGATAATAGGCATAGTTTACAATAAAGGCTACTCAAATAAATAATAAATAATAAATAAAATAGATATTTCCAACACTCACACCAAATAGCCTAGCCCCAAAGTACCTAAGTACTATAAGCTTGTGTTATGGGGTACTAGGGTAACGGATATAATACATATACTGATACATAATATATTTATATAAAAACACATATGAAACATCCATGACTGGAGTACAAATACTCGTATTCATCACACAAACATCTGCTTCCATCGGGATTCGAACCCAGGACTTCTCGAGGCGGCACCTTGAAACCGGCGTACAAACCACTCGGCCACGGAGGTCGTAGTAACAGGAAACAGCTTCCTAAATTTAAGCCTTGATGATCAAAACGAGAAGCTCGATGGCGCGGGTGGTTAGCGTGTTCGTGTTGTCGTGGTGAAAAAAATCTTTATCTCCAATCAACAAGTCATCTTAATTTTGTCATTCATTAAAATGCAGTTTTGAAGCGGGCACGATAGCGTTACCGAATGGCCAGGTTCTGCCCATCAAATGGGTGGACTTGCAGCTTTACCAGCACGGTGAAGGAGGCTCCCCACCCAAAGACTACGCCTTCAGGTTCCAAGCGGGGAAACAGGTCTATACGGTCCAGGTAACATGTCAAGTCATTTTACTTCGAACCTTCATACTTCGTGTTCAATTTATTGAATTATCGTGACCGCCGAACACTTATAGTGGACTAATTGTATACCGATAGGGCTAGTAGGTGAGACAGAGATAGGTTTTTTTTCTGAGGTACACACACGCATTCATTTTCCCAGGAAGAAAAGTGCGCTTACCTTTGCCGTGTTAGAAGGGCTCGAGCTGGCGAAACCGTGCAAATAACAGTTTGTGTTTGGAGGCCTCACGGACGTCACTGTATCACCGATTACCGGATTAGCAAGTTGAAGTGGCAGTGGGCTGGCCATATATTTGCCGAAGAACCGATAACCGTTGGGGTAGACGAGTTCTAGAGTGGAGACCGCGTCTAGGCAAACTTAGTGTAGGACGTCCTCAGGCACGGTGGAGTGACGATTTGCGCAAGGTGGCTGGCAGGAGCTGGATGCGAGTAGCCCAAGATCGATCTGAGTGGCGTGCAATTGGAGAGGCCTATGTCCAGCAGTGGACTAAGATAGGCTGTTGATGATGATGATTAATTGCTAAATCACATAAGATACCACAAGAAAAAATATCCGAACCGTCCGAATTAAGAAACTATGCCGAAGTCCGTTACGCCAGTATATCCGTTGTTAGGGGCTGGTTCGCTGATTGGCTGGCGCGCAGGCACGCTGCATTGTCCTTACGGACCAATGATCCGTGCCACAGTGAAGGCGCGCAAATTCCAACCGAGAGGCGGCATGAAATGCGTGTACACATCGTACTAACCATAGGCCAGGACCGACCAGGGACTGAAGTTGTTATACCTGTCCTGTCCAATTCACAATACCATAACAACAACAGAAACATTATAGAACTTATGTAAACAGCACTTGTTAAAATAAAAAAATACATGTCGTACAACATGCATAATTACATAATTACCAACACGAAGCTGATATGGACGCACAGGATGTTATAATTTATCCAGAAAGTGCTGTTTTTGATTTTTTTTTCTAATCTATACTAGATTGCAATAAAACTTTATCTTAATTCTAAATCAAAATAATTAATAATATTAGGGTAGCCCAAGCGGGGATTGTGGAATTTACCGGCTCAAACGTGGCAGAATAACTAAAATGGGACAACCTTGCTCCTTACACTTTTTGTTCTCCCACCACCCTGTATATATAACCCTTTATTTAACGTCTAGGGCAGCAAAAACTTTTCGTCGTGTCCAAAATTATCAGTGTTTTGAATAGGATCGACTGGAGGATGATAAACCGCGCTTAATATCGAAAATCTGTCTGAATCTGAATCCACGATGCCCTATCATCGTGGATTCCGCCCTATATCAGGTTTTCTCAAAGTGGTTCCACGGACCCCTTAGGGATACGTTGCCGTAGCATGTATTTATATACAGGGTTAATTTTAAAACACCAACAACCTCTTAGAGGGCGCTTCTACCCATCAACAGGAACAAGTTTTATTATGGGACCAACTCTGAAATCTGCTGTTTCATATATTACGGTTGATTAGCTGATGCACTTTTGTATGTAACAGCAGATATTTTTGAAGTTATACTTCTTTAGGCGCGTTATGAAAAAATGATGAGAGTGAAATTTTAAGATGCGCGCGCATCACTGTAACACAAAATTTTAACAACATGAAGTTGGTCGCCAACTTCATGCTGTTACTTTTGTGTTTACCGCACATTAAGAAAATCTACCAACAAAATAGAAATAGAATCTCTATTTAGTGGGTGCTAACGACTGCATTGTGAAGGCCTATCAAAAGTATTTATTAATCTGGAATAACGGAACCAAAGCGCGATTCAGGAGACTACAGCGCCATCTCTTGACCATTGGTGTAGTAGAACCAAAAACCATATCTTTATTTTTTGTAATAAAGTAACAGTTATAGGTATTCATATTTATAATATTTATCCACATGTTTCTAGTTTGTATATTCGGAATACGTGTTTGAGTTTCATACAAGTGCAAATCACATATGTTCTAATAAATTATATTCAGTAGCGATTTTAATTGAATATTTTGATTATTTATTTATTTTTTCAAATTAAAACTGAACTTTATTGACTGTGTCCTTTTCCAGACTTTTTATTAATTTATTGTAATTAATTATTTGCATGCAATTAAAAACTAATTTTAAACGATGCCAAAGAAGGATAACTTCTCACGCGCCTACATAAGTACACGCACCCATTTTTTCGCGATTTCAGCATTGGTCCCATAATAAGAGTTGTTCCTGTTGATGGGTAGAATCACCCCCTAAGAGCTTGTTGGTGTTTCAAAATTAACCCTGTATAAGGCTTTCTTTTGTAAAATCTTACTTCTCCTCAGGTGAGTGTAGAATACGAGTCAGTCCACTACGTCTCGGAGGAATGGGAGGCTCGCATGGTGGAGCGGTTCTGCAAGTACATGGTGAACGACGTTCCCGGGCGAGGAGTGTCGGAGTTCCACTACCGGCACAAGGACGGCCGCCCGGAGACCTACGCCAAAAGCGACCCGGAGTGGTACAGGAAAATGTGCCATAAGATTTAGCTGTTAAAACATATTGTTGTATTTCATGTACCATCACTTTGTTTAGTGTTAAATTATAGAAATATATATATATATATTAATAATGTCGAGTGTTTAATTTTTAACTGACAAAAGAAAGAGGTTCTCTACTCGTCTACTCTACTTTGAACTTCTATTCATAAACTTTATTGTTCATGGTCACAATGTCATAATAAAATTATCATCTGGTGAAGTCAATAAGCTCAGTCACATTCTCAATAAACGAACGAACTTAAATGTTACCCGGTTATCTAGCCATTGTCCATGGGTCTTGAACCTTTAATACCTAGGAACTCTATGTCTCGTACTTTTATTGATACACATGGCAAACAATATACGCAAATAGGAAGAAACAGTTTCAGAAGCGTACTTGAAGTCTTTTGAGCAATGGAAAGATATACAAATCAAATTGGTGTTTCTCTACTGGATCGAATTGGAAACGAGAAAGCGGAAAACCAATGGAAACTACATTAACCGACATATAGGTTTTTCTTACGGGTTACCAAGCTGATATGACAGAGTCCAGCGGCTCGATTCATAAGGAGCGCATTATCATTAGACCCCCCATCAGATGGATTGAGTGGTCAGGGTAGCCATTAGATAAGATAAGCAAGGACGTTGTAATAAGGTCCCTAAAGTGGTTCTATGTCCAGGAGTGGATGTTCGTCGGGTGATAAAGATCCTTCTGTAGATCTAGGACAGATTTGAAATGGGACGGATTTCATTATGAACGAATATTTCTCTATCTGTTGTCCTTAGGCACTGCTATCCAGCTAAGGTTTGGCCGTAAGTCCGCGATGAAGCTATCTGTGTATGCATGTATACTGTTTACGCTCGACTCAGAATCTTATTCCATACAAACAAACGTAGGTACTATTTTGATTGCTTAATAAAATAAATACCAAATCTGACCATGACGTACTCTATCAAGGATTTCGTTGCACCGATATTTTCGTTCAGCTCGATGTGCATTGCTTGCTATTCAATACTGTGGTATATTGACGGGTTTAGTTATACCGTCGATGGACGAGGAAGTGTTTGATAGATGTGTTCCCGACCTTGATCGTTGTCCTTTCGCTGCTGCTGCAATTATAGTCTCTAATCGAATTGAATGACTGCGCCCGACGAATGAGATAATTGCGCACGCGCATCCTATTTGGACATACCTATCGGATGATTTATTTTAGAAAGCATGTTATAGGAAAATTTCTCTTGCATGATGACACAAAATATAGGTAAGTCAGCGCAGATTTGTAGAATAAAAATGACTACTTTTTTCTTTACAATATCTGGTAACTCTCTCGCACTTACATTTCATAACATTTTGACAACAACAACGAATTTGCACGATGATTATTATAAATAAAAAGCAACAAGTTAACAAAAAAAACGCATTATCTTAAAATTATGATTGATCGCAAAAATTTGTACAGCTACTGTAAGTAAATCCACCCACAAAAGGTAAATATTATTATATAATCAAATCTTAAAATAAATAATAATTATATAACTAAATTCAAACTACTAATATTTTTATGTAACTTTGGTAACACCCTGTATAATTCCCGGTAGAGAGTAGGGTCCCCTGAATAGGTGAGGTACATTGTTTCCCAGCAGCGCCGCAGTCGGACGAAACTAGGCGAGTACGACCAGAGTGCTGTGGAACCACAAACTATTGAGGTAAGGTTTTCAAGGAAGTGAGATACCAAAAAGTAGTGGTGGAAACAGGGTAGAAATTTCTGATCTTTCATATCACACAGCTATTTTCGCAACTGAAAGCCTACCTTCTCAAACTACCTTTTTTGGGTATGATAATAGACAGACAGGGCCTTGTAAAATAAAAACGTTTACTTTATCCGTAATCTAAATATACACAACACTATGTTTGTATGACTGAGGAGCCCGATTCCCCTCATAATTAGGTATTAATGAGCGTGTTCTTATGGCATTTAGGTATATGGAACTTTCGCTATAGCCAGTTATAATAGATAGGATGATGAGTGACAAACATTTATCGAGCTCAGCCGTCTTTTTGGCACGTTAGCATTTCGCTATGACCAGCGTCGTGGGGACATTAGTATTGGTCTGATGTTCATGTTTATTTCTTTTTTGTGTAGTTACGTAGGCAAATGGCTCTACTCGACCTGATGTTAAGTGGTGGTACAGTCCAGGCGCGAAGATAACTGGTCTAGCAGTTATAAACTGCCAGACCAACCATCCTCACCTTACCGGCCTGCAGAAATGCTTCTTCACGCCTCTCTTAAATGACCCCAGATTGTAGGAAGGTGGGAAAACGTGCGCGGGCAAAGAATTCCACTTGCGAATAGTTCTATATTGCTATAGTTTCACCACAGCGATCATAACATAACCAATGGATTTCGACGCGATCCTCGAAGACGTGGGCGAGTTCGGGCGCTACCAGAAGCTGGTGGTGTACCTGGTATTGCTGCCGGCAGTCATCCCGTGCGGCTTCCATGCGTACGCGCAGCTTTTTATGGCGGCCGGCGGCGCGCACTGGTGCCGTGTGCCCGAGCTGGAACACATCTCCAACATAGAACTCGTTAAGAACATCAGGTGCGTATGAACGTAACTGAAGTGGGCGTACAAGGATATTGTTGTGACTGACGTGACTTCCTTGAAGAAATTCGACACGGCCAGGGCTCGGTATCCTATATAGCGATTCCTGCGTCCACCTGGATAGCAGGAAACAACAAGGGCGGGTCCAGCTTTGGCGCCAGAGGGGGGTCATATAGTCGTGGTCAAGTCACAGTGGGTACAGATTGTGAAGTGGGTACAGATGGACCCAGCCCAGGGGGGGGGGTCATGACCCCCATGACCCCCCTCCCCCTGGATCCGCCCTTGGGAAACAAGTGAATATTTTTCAAGCAAGTTTCTTTAGATTTTACAATATTCTAAATTAATTAATCGATTTCTTTTTATTATTTTCAGCATTCCTGTGGAAGATAAGAATGGGAATCTGCAATACTCCCAGTGTAGCATGTACAATTTGAACTACAGTGACTTGTTAAGGAACCACGAAAATCTTGATGAGTTCACCAGAAGAGAAATGCCCGCTGATAATATAATACCGTGCAAAAATGGATGGACTCATGACAAGACCATTTATAAAAATACCGTCGTTACAGAGGTAAGAACTAAAAAAGTTGGCATTAAAACTCTAATCGCTAGGTTTATGTCTCTGATTTTCATGGTGGACTGTGAGTGAAAGAAAAACACAATAATGCCTCAGTTAATGTTTTCCCATTTTGATAGTAAATATCTAGTATGTCTAGACTACCCAATGAACGTACTTTAGAAAACTTACGAAGTGCCCCTGTTTTTGCCTTAATTTATTTTCCGGGGTCTTTGAGACCCAAAGACCTAACCAATGTAAAAGTGGCTATATAAAGGCGGTTGTGGGATGCTTGTCATAGAAACAATTAGTTAGGACTTAGGCTCTCGACAATTCACAACACACTAAGCAAAGGACAATGTTAAAATTGGCCTAAGAACCAACACCAATTTGGCATTTAAGATAATTATTAGTATATTTTTTGCGATAATTATCAGTATTTTGATTGTGACGGACACTTCCAGTTAAGTAAGCTAAATTAAAAAGTTAATAAATAATCTAAGACAATAAATACCATTCTATGTGTATAAGCTATGACAGCGCTGCAAACAAAACACTCTTTCTTCCCAATCAAGTGCCGGCGTTTACTTGGCTGTTCGTATTTGCTATTTAAAAACATGACATCAGTCTGTCCTTTTCATTCCTTATTAATAAGGAATGAAAAGTTTGAGTTTAAGAAAGAAAGGGTTAGAAAGTTTAAGGAATGAAAACTGTTGTCAAGTGAAGGGCCGGCATAAACTCGATACTCTGTGGTTGTGTCATTCGTGCATTCTCGTCAAAGAGTAGGTACTTTTTATATACGGAAAATTCTCGTTTCGACTTACCTGTTGTGTGTGTTTATTTGCGATTGTTTTTCCTTTAATGAACTATTACTATTTCGGCTGTCTAATAATTATGCCATCGCTGTTACCAAAGCGCAGAAACCTTATTATCAAGTGCTAGTGAACCTGTGCTGTGCCACAACATCCTGAGAGGATCATACTGCCATATTATTCAAGAGCACCTGATACACATTCACGCTGCATATTAACACAATAACCATGTGTTAAACAAATAAATAAAGTATACAATATGATAAAATTATGTGAAAAATAGTCATTAAATAATAAGAAGCAAAACTACAGTTATAATAATATAGTTATAGTTTAAGTTTTTATTTTATTCATGATTCCTACCTAACCAAGTTTTTTCTAATAGTTATTCTTTAAAATCGCACCGAATAAAATGAATTAGTTGTAATATTAATTCACTGCATACTAAGTTCATAGGTTGACCTATGTTTCATTGAATATTAAACATAACCTCAAAAAAAAATTTAGTTTTCCTAATAATTTAAGTTCTCAGAAGTGTCCGTCAATAATCTTGGTTTTCACAGTCATTTACTTGCGATTTCGAACCTAGAAAATAATTTCTCATGATTGTTGGTTCTTAGGCTAACTATGTATGGACGCAGAACAATGTCCTTTAAAGAGCATATTATGAGGAAATGGTTTGCGCGTTCGTCTGCGATCATGGAAATTAAATAGATATACTTAAACCCCCTTATTAACAAACAAAGTATAAGCATTTGAGTGATATGAACAAAACACTGTGTAACTAATCTTAGCATATTCTTCGTTTATTAATAAGGGTGTTATAGTTTAATTCCGTGCTTCTGAAAGCATGTTTAACCATTTGTACAGTTGTGTTGTATTTATATTCTTAGCTGGCACTGCATTCATGAAACTGCATTGATCACGTGTGGCCACTATTTTCCTTATTCCATCCATGGGAAGGCATCTTCCTCATCAGTGTGGCCAATAATAGGCTGTCGAGTATGTGATTGAGTGCTGTGACTTGAGTAAAAATACCTATAAAGTTCATTTTTCGTGTTGAACAGTGGAACCTGGTTTGCAATGACGACTTCCTGCCAACTCTGGGCCTTGTGCTCTTGGCTGCGGGCGGAATCATCGGCAACTACATATTCGGCTATCTCCAAGATACGATCGGAAGAAAGCCTTCGTTCTTCATCTATCTCCTGATCGAATGCATCTTTGGCGTCGCCACTGCCTTCGCACATAACTATGTCATGTGGATAATTTATCGAATTGGCGTTGGATTCACCGTTCCTGCTATTATGGCTACGCCCTATGTTTTAGGTTAGTTATTCGCAACTGCAATAAACATCATATATTGAATTCTAACTAATTTATGTGATGATTTTTACTCAAACAGTGAAATTACCTAGTAGTTATATGAAAGTATCCGATGACGAGTTGTATTAATTATTATATCTAAAAGGAATACTTAATTCCAAAATCTAATTACGATGTTAAAATGATAACTTATATTTACCCCCTTATGTACTCCATAACATAGAAGATTTACTATGTCGATGCTGATAATTTTTTAAGATGTGAAACAATCTTTCCAGCCATCGAGCTAGTGGGTCCGCGCTGCCGTACGCTATGCACGATTCTATCAAACATCGCGTACTCGTTGGGTCTGATCATGTTGGCTGGAGTTGTGTACTTAGTCCGGGATTGGCGGCACTTAGCTTTAGCGACTACCCTGCCTTTCGTCTGCTTCTTCCTGTACCTTTGGCCTATGCCTGAGAGCCCCAGGTGGCTACTAGCACGAGGGCAGTTCGAAAAAGCAGAGGTGATCTTAAAGAATATGGCAAGGTTAGTATTGAAACGAATTGGTAGGTCAAAACTTCGTTCCTTGTAGTTTTGTGAAATTATGTACATAGTAAATTAACCAAACCATAGGAACCAAAGATCACAGGTTTGAGTCTCGCCTAGTACCTTTTTTTTTGACCTGAAAAAATGCGTTACGCTCCTCCTCCTCCTCCCACCCACTCAGCCAACCCTAGGGCTGGCTCAGTGGCTGCTCGGGATGCGGGGGCCCTACCCACTAAAACTCCGGATGTGCCCTCCATGCCAACGGTGGCGGCGTAGGGTCCTGACTTTTAGCCATGCCACCTCACATTCGGGGGGATTCCCAGGCACATGGTGGGAATCCTCCCCAGACTGCGATGCCGTGCAATGCAGGCGCGGGTTACCCTACCCACGCCCGCTAGCCCTGACTCAGGGTTGAAGACTGCGGACGTATCCCCGCATCCCTCGCCTAGTACCTAATCTAGGTTGATAGTCGTATTTTTCTATCCTTAACAATGACTGTATGCAGTATTAAAACCACTTTTCAAATATAAAATTCATAAATACAACAGGTATACATCACAATGATGATGGCTGAATAACAGTAAGGCAATTTGACTTTTACTTTCAGAATAAACGGTAAATCCCTGCCTGCTAACTACATGGTGCACCTGAGGCGCAAATACGAATCAGACAAACTGAAACAAGACATAGAAAAGGAGAAGTCCCGGAAGTACGGGGTATTGGACCTGTTTAGAACACCTAACTTAAGGAAGAAGACCATAATAATCACATTCATATGGTTCACCAACACCAGCGTTTACGTCGGGCTGTCTTACTATGCTCCGGTGTTGGGTGGAGATGAATTCTTAAACTTCTTCCTGGCTGGTGTGGTCGAATTGCCGACTTACCTGTTCCTTTGGCCGTCCATGGAGCGATTGGGGAGGAGGTGGACGCTTTGTATGAGCATGGTTGTCGGTGGAATCGCCTGTTTAACCACGTTTCTAGTTCAACACGGTAAATATCAGATCAGTAGATACAACCATTTATATTCTAAGTACACTGTTCGGTCATTGAGATCAATAGTCTGGACGAAACCAACTCCTAATAGTTGACAAACTTCTTCTATTTTTTTTATGATCAGAAAGGCCCAAATCAAGGTGAATATTTCATGGCCACCGCAAGAATAAGGAATTATCAGTCAGAACAGAACAGAACCGTAGATAAATTCACTCTACGCAAAAATTAGTAGCGAGCGTATTTATAAGGCGTTATTTTATAGCGTGTGAGATTTTTCAAATTCTTTTTTAAAGCTATATAGGATACTAGTTCCAAGTCTTGGCTGAAACACTCTATAAACCTGCTTTTGTATTTTTTCCAGAAACTTATGTTACCTTAGCTCTATACTGCGTAGGAAAAATGGGCATATCGTCTTCTTTCGTTGTGCTACCGCTGATGGCGTCCGAGTTGTACCCAACCGTAGTAAGAGGACTTGGCATGAGTTTTAGCTCCGTGTTGGGAATGCTTGGCCCAATCTTCATACCGCTCGTGAACTATCTAGTAAGTTTGTAGTGGGTTTTGTTGTTCTTTCTGTTTATAAGAGGAATTAAGAAGCTCAATGGAGCAAGTGGTCAGAGGTCAGATCCTGTAAGTTAAAGCGGTCATCATATGGGTGACCAATTTATTTTTAACTCGAGGTCGTGCATGCTTTGAGAGGCACGTTAAGCCGTGGTCTCAGTTACATCTCTTGACACCCACCAGTCCGCACTTTGACAGCGTGGTGGCTCATGGTCTAATCTAGGGATATTGGACTATCCATAGGGAAGGCCTGTGCTCCAGCAGTGAGAATGTTAATAGGCTGATGATGATGATTATAGCAAACATCCCAAATCAATTAAAATGTGGATTTATTATTTAAGCATTTAACTGCTGGATGTTTAAATCCTTAGACCATTCTAAGTTGTAAATTTAAAGAAAATTTACTAGAAAAAATCCACACGGACCAGGCAGCAGATGGGACTCGGAATCGCACCTTTCGTTATCCGGGCGGATGCACTGACCATTATGCTACCGCGGCCCTAATGGCCGTGTCGAATTCTTTCTAGTTTTCTTAGGCTGCAAAATGTGGAGTTTCAAAATAATTATTCGTTTTGCAGGGCTCAGACATTATGGTTCTGCCGTTGATCATCATGGGTGCTCTGCTAGTAGCTGGTGGTATAGCAAGTTTATTACTTCCCGAGACTTTGAATCAACATCTTCCGCAAACATTAGAAGACGGAGAAAAAATGGGCCTCGATACCGATTTCTGCTGTAATCCACCAGTCAAAGAGCCTAATCATAGAAATGTGGAAGCAAAGGACACAGTACTAGACCAACAATATTGTAATGCGTGTAAAACTTTATGCTCGTGTCAGTTGGTAAACGTACCGTTAGTTGAAAGCGTTGCGGCTATTATTGAGAAAGATAGTGAAAAAGTAGAATTTATTATTGTAAAATAAAGTACTTGCGAGCCGTTTAAAACCGTTTCATTATTTTGAAAAGTTTGTAAGTTATTAAATACGTGGATTCGATCGAAACAATGTAGGTAACATTTGTGAAAGAGATGCAGGTGACAGCAGATTTGGAGTGGCAATCTGGGGAATTAAACTCCACCTTTTAGAAAATTGCAGGCAACTATCATACCTAAGTGCTCATGTAGTATTATTATGTAGGGTTGTATTCCTCCAGCAAGATATTTACAAGTGACAAGGGTGCCGGTAGAGCGGCACTTTTTCTATCGAATCATTTGTCTTCGCCACTGAACATTTAACATTAAATGGTACAGTTATTAATAATGAGCAGCACAAATTATTAATTCAAGGCCATAGAATGGATATTCTAGCAATAATGGAATAGAGTGTGCATTACGGAATCCGGACATTTTATTTAATTATTTTGTATTCGGTACCAAATACAATAAAAAAAATATTTAGCCGTACTTTAAAGAAATAAAAAAGACCACTTTCTTCATGTATAGGCTGTTTTGTGATTTTTTCTTTGACTTCCAAATGGAACAACTTACCAAAAATATTAATGTGAAGTGTCAATTTTAGTGAGTTTTTTTGGCGGGATTTCATCGAGTGCGGTTGGCGTCTTATTTTTATTATTCTTAAATTCGTTCATAGTGGATATTGTGAAATAAAATTGGTGTGGTTTTGTGTAACAACTGTCTGCGTAACTGAAGAATTAGTGGAATCATTAAAATATACGCTATTCCGGTCAAGTGGACGTGAGAATTTTATTGTAGTGTTGACTACCTCACAGAAGCTTATCGAAAAAGCCAACTCGATACATTTCGTGCCAAACACTCCAAGAAACATTAGAATGCGTCACACCGACATTCTAATGTAAAAACAAAAAGAAGATTAATTTAATTAAAGACCAGGCTGTATAGGCATTGTTCCCTTTGCCTTCCCTAAAACGAGAGAACTTCAACAAAAAAAAGTCAATTTTAGTGAACTGTCAATGTCAATTTCGGTTTAATGTCACGGTCATATGTTCGGTCGGCTTCGGATTATGAAATAAATATTTCCCCAAAAACCAGATATCTCTAGTAGTTAAATAATGGCATTATCGTTTTTACGCACTCATATAATTGCTCGACACCTGAAGAAGCAATTATATCCGAATAAACGCAATGCTGGATATGTTGTTCTGTGAGTACTGTATTGATTTTCTATATCATAATTTTATTTTAGTAAGGTTATGGATTAAGTAAAGCAGTAACTATAACTTTATGCGAGAAACAAACTCGTATTTCTTTATTCTGTGAAAGAAACAACCAACATTTCATTTATACTTAAAAATGTTAGTATTTCGGTTTTTACATTTTGGCACACTTTAGTAGTTTTAATTTAATCATAAAATATAATTTTATTTCATTGGCAAAGTAAGTTAATCATATTTAATCATGACATAAAATATTTTTTTGTTATTGTTATTATTGTTTAAAATTCACTTCAGTTGGTAATAATATTGCATAAAAGTCCTCTATTGGTTTTACTGAAATAGAAGAAAGAATTCGTCCCAAACGATGATTCTAATTAGATCTTATTAAGAAATGTGGTAAGCTTCTTCTTCTTCCGTTCTACAAATATTTCTTCTCTCATATTTACAGAATCCCAGAAATTGGTGAAGATGCAGATAAAAACATATTACTTTGTGAAAATGGTTTACCAGAATTTAATGATTTCACAATTGAGAAATGCATAGCAGCAATTAGTAAACAAAGTTTAGAATATGAAAATGGGGTTAACCAAATTGAACACTCCGCACAGAGCTGCAGAAATGCATTCACTGATATATTCGAACCGTTGGAGAAGATTGACGGCCCATTGGAATTAACATGGGGCATGGCAAAAACACTATATTTGGGGAATAGTTGCTTAATGCCAACAAAATCATATATACAGATACATGAGAGGGCACACAAAGCAAGATTATCAAAATTTAACAGCATACCTATATTCAAAGCAGCTGTTAATGAAAAGAATAAATTGAAAAAACTGACTGATGAAGAGCAAAGGCTTCTAGATAAGTACATTCTAGAAGGGAAGCTCAATGGACTTGATGTGAAAGGTCTTAAAAGAGAACGACTGAATCACATTCTCACAGAATTACAGAAAGAAAGGCAAATATTCCGAGATAAAGTGAACTTGGCTAACAAGATGTTTACACACACAATAGATGATAGTCAAGTAATAAGGGAATTCCCCGAAAGTCTAGCAAAAGACATGTCCATAAGTAATGACCCAAATAAAGGCCCATGGAAAGTGACCTTGCAGCCTCATATTTTTGACAGATTCATGCAATACTGTCCAGACAGACAACTCCGCTGGAACACATATCAAGCATACATACAGAGATGCTCCAACTATGTCAATAAAGAAATAGAAACAAGTACAAACCTAGAGAAAATTAGAAGCTTAAGACAAGAACAAGCAACAATTTTGGGTTTTGAATCATTTGTAGAAATGAGTATGGAGACGAAAATGGCAGGATCCATTGAGAATATTTACAACATTTTTGATAGTTTGCTTGAAAATGCTAAACCAATGCAAGAAGTAGAAATTGAATTATTACAGAGGTTTGCTAAGGAAAGGGGTTTTGACAGCAAATTAGAGTACTGGGATATACCATATTGGCAAAGAAAGCAGAAGTGGACATCATATAATTTTGAAGAAGATAAAATACGTGAATTCTTTCCTCTTCCGAGAGTTATTAATAGTCTATTCAATCTTTGTAGTACACTGTTTAAAATACAAATTGTAGAAAGAAATGATATAAACACATGGCATAAGGATGTGAAGTTTTATGACATATATGATGAATCAAGCAATAATCCTATAGCTGGTCTATATTTAGACCCTTATGCACGTCAAGACGAAAAGATTCGTATTTATGATGACGCTGGTTGGCACATTTCAATTCGCAACAAGTCCTCAATTACTTCCACAAATCCATTGTCAGCACTTATATTCAATTTCCAGGCGCCTGTTGATGGTAAACCATCATTGTTAACATTCAATGAAGTAGGGATTTTGTTCCGCAGGTTCGGACATTCATTGCGTCATTTACTCACTAAAGCAAATTTCTCAGAGGTAGCTGGTCTATCTAATGTCGAATGGGATGCTGCTGAAGTCTGTGGCCATGTCATGACGCATTGGCTTTATGATCCACACACAATCCAAGCTCTTAGTGGGCATTACAAAACTGACGAACCATTACCAGAGGATATTGTCAATAATCTACGTAATGTCAGAGGACACATGGCTGGTTATCACTTGTGCAATGAACTTTACCTTTCAAAATTAGATTTAGAGCTTCATTCAAAGAAAACATTTTGGAGAGATCTTGTACGTGAGATGTGGCCCAAATACTACACTATGCCATTCGACAAGTACAATTCGCACCCTTTGTCGTTCACAAAAATATTTTCTGAAGAGTGGGGAGCTGCATACTATTGTCATTTATGGTCAAAAATGATTGCTGCTGATATTTACAGTGCATTTGAAGAGGCTAGGCAGGGAGAACAAGACGTTTTGACTGTGGGAAAGAGATACAGAGACACATTTTTAGCAAGTGGTGGAAGCTGTCATCCGAGTGAAATATTCAGGAGGTTTCGTGGTAGGGACCCGTCTCCTCACGCCCTACTTAATAATCTGGGCTTGTCCAAAAAGAATATAGAGGAATAGAACCAAGTCCAAATACTGTTCTAATTAAGTACTTAGATTTATTTTAATTTAATATCTTTTGTCGAAAATACTATTATTATATGTTTCTATTTCTTTGAAGATATTTTATTTAATAATGTCACAAAGTACGTAAGGCAATTACAATTTAGTGGCTGTTCAGTGACGCGATTCGCTTGCGAATTGAGATACTCTAGGCACGTACGTGTATTGCGCGCCAGCGCGCCACGGAACGCGACGCGAGGATACTAGGGCTACCGTTGCCGGCCTATTCGCTAACTTTTTTGACATTTACAATTAGTAACTAAAGAGAAAATTGCATATCCATCGATGCTTTTCAGAACAAGTATCTAAGTGGCGTAATAATAAAGCAGTAGTGGATCTGTAAATAGCTCGGTGATTAATACTTCCTCCTGTCAAAAGCAGTTAGTGAATAGGCCTATTAACGCGTAGTTAACTCGACTGAAAGTATTAAGGATACATTTATATATTCATTAATTTTTCGCCAGGAATTAAATCTATAAATATCAAATGATCAAGCAATTTTACTGACATCCGAAAATAGTTAAAGAAACTTTTTGGATGCCAAGCTTTGTAATTAATGTTACAAACATGTTTTGAAGCACTGTTTCTTATAAAATAATGGTGTAATAAATATAGTCGATTTTCTATTTCCCGACTATTTATTAGCCCGGCTGCTCTAAATAAGTGTCATAATAACGCGGGTAAATCGCGGCATATGGACGCAACAAAAATTTCTACGTACGTATGGAATCAAGCGCGAATCGCGTCATCTGAACAGGCAAAAAAAAATATTTATTTCGGACAACAGCAGCCCATATAAAATGTACCTATGTACATATTTAACATTAATAACCCTCGGCCCAAATAAGAGTTTTATGAATAGGCTCCTATCTCCTATTAAAACTTATAAGCTTCATCTGACTTCAGCGTAAATGTTGCGATCGACGTCAATACATGTCAATCGAGAAGACGTCGTCGTACGGCGTTTATAGGAAACCAAAGCCTTAAATAAGTAAGCAAATACGTTCAACTTATTTCCAGCCGCTCGACAGCTTACAAAACACTTGTAAAGTAACTTTATTGTTCCGGTCATAAATGTAGTTTTCTATACCAAGCCCATCTAACGGCCTGCGCTGCGTTAAGCGGGAGCACGGAGCGGACATCCTCTCTCCGTACAGTTTTTCTGTCATTTCATAGTACAGCGCTGCACGGGATACCCGCCTCACGCAGCGCAGAATAAACAAACACGCGGAGAGGACGTCCGCTCCGTGCTCCCTCTTAACGCAACGCAGGCCGTAAGTCCTTTACCTTCTTTAGGTTCTTAACTTCTTAATACCGAGGGACCATTTCTGTCTCCCACGGGCCACCACTTTTAAGAACTACTGACCTTAGGTCTCATAAATAAGAAACATCAATACAGAAAACAATGCTTTAATGATGCTTCACGAGAAAATCAATCCGAATCAGGGTTTTGCTCCCAAGCGCGTTCCATGGCGTAGATGTCCTTCTTGATATTCTCGTCGTCAGGTATAAGCTTGGCAGCTGCCTTCATTTCTCCGATAGCTTTATTGAGATAGCCGAGTCGAGCCAGCGCCGCCGCGCGACGGGCGATGCACTTACCGCGACTCTGGCGGTTACCCTCGCAAGCTGGCACCATCAACTCCAGCGCAGTTGAACAATCGTTCAGCTGTTACAACACAATATAATGTGTAACATATATATGTCCTTAAAATATATAGTGAACTTCCACGGAATTTCATACTGATAGGTATTGCATAGTCGAAATTGGTCAAAAATTCCATTGTGTAAATAATGACACGACGACATTTAGAGTTTCAGTTGTAGGTTAGGTACTGTACCCTTAGTACGAGTTTGAGCTCTCGAAAACTATTATAGTTTTCGTAATTGGACGTAGTTACGCGAAAACGTTCCAACCCACAAGTCACTCGAAAATGAGTTACCATAACCAGGGTACTATTTTTGACATATTACATCATGTGCACACAAAGATGCTAGTATTTTTAGGTTAGTTTCATCAATAAAGTTTAACCCAAATGTTCCAACCCACCATTATGCCAAGGACGTGTACTCAAAATAAAGTAAAAACATTACATGCATACTGAAACATATTGTTAAAAACTCTTAATAGAATAACATATCGTTATAATGTTCCACTTGTCTTGGAACATTATACTAAATTCATAAAACGCACATTTAATGGTTTCTTAAATGATCCATGTGGGTTGGAACGTTTTTGCAAAATCTTTATACATTTTTTATTTCTGCAAAAATGTTCCATGTAATTTGAAACCTTTTAGATTAATCCATACTGTTTTTTTAAGCTGCGAACACTGTTCTAAATAAATTGAAACCTTTTATTATAATATATTATTTTCTAATTTTTTGCTATAAACAATCCACATATACTTGATCCATTTTTGCTATTAAGTATGTTCTAGAGAAAAAGATATTTTTTACCAAAATAAATAACTATGGTATATTTGGACGTAGTAACGAGAAAATGATCCAACCCACAGCAACCCCAATTTGAGATAAACGCAATTTACACACTTTTCCCCTGTAATTATTTCAGGCAAATACTATTGGTTTAACTATGGAATGCCAAACTGATTATTGAATGATATGCATATTTTTTGTAAATACATAATACAAGGGGCATATAAATAGGTAAAACGAGTTTGAAATGTTTTTGCTAAATTAATTTTGTATGAACCTTGTTAAATAGCAATTATGCATAAACTTTCCAAAACGAATTTAAGTGTATTATTTTATAAAAATAAACCAAAAAGAAATATGTAAAATAATAAATAACAATGAGGAACATACAAAAACAACAAAAAAAATATTTGAAAATGTATTACAAAAAAATAGAACGTGATCTTTTGAGTTTAGAACCTATGCCAAAAATTTGCTGATATGGTTCCAAAAGTTATCAAAAACTTATATTATAAACATTCAATTTTCATCATCGTATTCTATGATCTCGAAGTCCGGAACTCCACCAAACCCATCAACATCATCAGTGCTTCTTCAGAACTTTGAAGCGTTCTATAAAATTGAAGGCAATCCTCGGGTATGTAGTGGTACATGGATTGTAAGTCCACTAATTTCGCTGGAGCAATCGGTTTGTCGTTAGGCCACAATAAGCAAAAATCAGATTCTTTTATGTATTGCAGTTCTCGTTTTATTCTTTTATCAATTTTCAACTCATTGAAATCGTCTTCCATCGTAGACCGCATAAAAATAGAAAAAATCATATCTTTATCCAACTTAATTTCTTTTGTATGTAGCCAACTAACTTTAGATGAGTCTGTAAACTTCTTCCTATTGATAATCTTCTTTTCCAGTTTAGTTGTACTATAAAATCAGTCTTTGTCATTTTGTAAACTTGAAGAGGTTTAACTTTTTTACTTAGTTCTACAATAGTGGTATCCATAGTGCATCTAATGATACTGGGCATTGTTATGTATTGGTAGAAAGAGAGGTAGGAAGAGGTGCACAGGAAGTGGATTGCCTTCTGTTCTGAAGAAGCACTGATGATGTTGATGGGTTTGGTGGAGTTCCGGACTTCGAGATCATAGAATACGATGATGAAAATTGAATGTTTATAATATAAGTTTTTGATAACTTTTGGAACCATATCAGCAAATTGGCATAGGTTCAAAGCTCAAAAGATCACGTTCTATTTTTTTTGTAATACATTTTCAAATTTTTGTTGTTTTTGTATGTTCCTCATTGTTATTTATTATTTTACATATTTATTTTAGATATATTTATAAAATAATACACTTAAATTCGTTCTGGAACGTTTATGCATAATTGCTATTTAACAAGGTTCATACAAAATTAAATTTAGCGAAAACGTTTCAAACTCGTTTTACCTATTTATATGCCCCTTGTATTATGTATTTACAAAAAATATGCATATCATTCAATAACCAATTTGGCATTCCACAGTAACACCAATAGTATTTGCCTGAAATAATTACAGGGAAAAAGTGTACCGCTAAAACACAAAATTGCGTTTATCTCAAAATGGGGTCGCTGTGGGTTGGAACGTTTTCGCGTAACTACGTCCAATTGTAAATTATGTTTCTATGTCCATTTTGGTGAAAAGTAACCAAATATACTTAACATTTAAGAAGACACAAATGATTTAATGATAGAATTTAAACACTGTTTATTTGTATTGAAACGAAAACAATAAAATCAGTACTCTTAGTATGAGTGCGAGCTCACGAAAACTATAATATAATGCGATTCAAATAAGAATAGGAAAGCCAATGACCTCCATCTGTCAAATGACGCTTGAAAAGTACGGTTTGCAAAAAATCTTGGAACTCTTTTTTAACACTCACCTAATTCTAGAATAAAAAAACCAAACATTTGTAAACAAACATGACGACGATGACAACTCCGGTAGTTATGCAGAGCTGAGCGGAATTGAAGACCTAGATTCCGATTAATATTTTTACTCACACAGTCATAAATGTTATTAAAAATCGTTATTTTTTTTCTCAATCTTAGTAAATAAATTTTATTAATAAAATCTGATGTTTTTTTCACTTAATCTTAGTAAATAAGTTTTATTTAAAAAAAACCTGATTTTTTTTCTCACTTAATCTTAGTAAATAAGTTTTATCGAAGAAGAACTTTTATTGCTCACTCTACCTATTTTGTTTCGCCGGCGCCCAGTCGATCCTATTCTTAGTTGAATCGCATTATAGTTTTCGTAATTGTAAAACTCGTACTAAGCGTACTGCAGCTATCGTTTTATTAATACGAGCGCATTATTTTTTATGTTCTACCAGGTACATACTATACTTATAAGCATTAGGTCCAGGAACAACTCATGGGTCGAAAGTCAAAAAAATCCTAAGAAGATAAAGTTGAAAAAAATTGTAGTCGGTTGACTCTGGAAGAGATCTGTTAAGGCATAATATATTTGTTCCATAGTTGAATGTTAATCACATCTACAGCAATCCATGAGAACATACATTTTGCTATCTGGGCCAAAATGGATGCACGGTACCTGCTACGTAACTTACACTACACTACCAAAAAAATGTTTTTCTGGGAAGCAAGTTCTGAACTTACACATTTGTTGAAGTTGCCGAGTGCGAAGTGAGTGGCTGCCCTATTAGCGAACAGGCTGGGCAGCTTATCGGATAACATTATTCCATGCGTGTAGGCACTAATAGCGCCCAAAAAATTGCCGCTGCGGAAAAACTCGTCGCCTTTCTCCTTGCACCACTGTGGGTCTTGTTCCTCCGGCCGAAGATCTTCAGACACGAAACCTGGCGTGTGAATGAAACATGGTAAAAAATGGAAATTATCCTATATTGGGTCAAAAAACCTAATAGGGCTTTTGGTTTGATGTCAATTTTATATCAGTTAGGTCTTCGATCACTTTATATTTGATCGAAGATTTAGATACTTTATTTGAGAAAAGTGACAAGTGATGATCTTGCCTAAATTTTTTGTTTAGTTTATGTTAAGGGAGGATATACGCATTCTTCTTCGATACTAAAGCATGCGTTTTTTAAACCTGTTAATTTACAAACCTGTTGCTCTTCTTGCTAATGTGATATTCTTTATCCAGGCCTCTTCCTCTGACGCGGTAGACTCCCTACTTGGCGTTGGAAAAGATCGTGGCGTGTGTTTGACTTCCAATTCCGCTGTTTGCCTCAATTCAGGCAGTACTCTGGCGTTAACTTCTTTTCTTTTCCTGTCTACATAATCAGATTTAACAATTTTTTTCACAGATCGACGTGGAACCTCAACTTCTTTAGGATTCGCTTTTACAACTGTCTTTGATTTGCTTTTCTCTTTAGTCGTTTTATCGCTCTCCTCATCCGATGAAGGTAACTCTATTATCTTTACATTGGAACTCATTCTGTTGTTACTACTGACCAAATGTTTAGGTTCCGACATATCATTCGCGTCAAATTCATTTGCATGTTCAATACGCCATTCTTCAAGAGCATCCATCGCTTTCTTTCTTTGTTCATCTCTTCTAGAATCCATGAGATTGTGTTGTATGTTATCCAACTCCATAGCTTTCTCCACTGTAAATCTGTCTAGTTGTGATTTTCTTATTCTCTTGTCCTCAGACTCTTGTTTGGCTTTTTCTTGGCATTTCTCGAGAATTTCTTCCTTTAACTTCAACTTTTCAACCTTAGACAACTGCTTTTCTAGAGAATCCCATTCGTGATCATCCTTTTTAACTAAATCGAAAATAATAATATCTTCTTTCACGATGCATTTGCTTTTAGAATTATCTACATCATACATAAGAAACACTTCAAACAAAAATGGTTTGTAATTTGCTTTTATGTATGAATCAGTTGTGAATATGTCCACCTTCTCATGCTTCACTTCTCTAACTGGAACCTTAATATGAACAGTTTTGGGTGTTTGTGACCACGTGAAATCTTTAATAAGTATTGGCATTATATTTAATACGATTGCTTTACTTTATACTTTTCTGCGAATACCTTTTACTTGAAGGTTTTGTGAGTAACTTAACAAATTGTCAAAACTTTCTAAAAACTGTTTATTTATTACCATGGATACAAACCAACCAATGTCATAGATTATAAATAGAGTGTGCACAATGATATTTTATTTATAGATATGTTATATTAATAGAAATTGCTTTTAAAATCTATCCCAAGTAGGTCCCGAGTCCCAATCAAACTTCAAAATTTAAATTGTTTTCTTGTGCATTCAGTTTACATTTATTAGCCATAGGGTACGGCCAGAGTGCACTCAGATTCAGATTCAGATTCCCAAAACAAGCGCGAGAAATAAACAGTGTAGTCGAAGGGTACGGCCAGAGTGCACTCCTGACTCCAACAGTGTAGTCTAAGCAGGTTGCCTGCTTTTTCTCGCGCTTGTTTTCTGAGTCTGAATCTGAGTGCACTCTGGCCGTACAAATAGAGTGGACACTTCATTGAAAAGTAAGTACATACTACATAGGTAACAAATAAAACATCTTATAAATGTAAATCACATTTAATGAAAATTCAATAATGATTTTTGTAGTGTTTGTACTTATTTCGAATCATATTTGTCAGTTGTTTTGAAGTGATCGCTACAGATTCAGTGGTGCCGATTCTGGCGTGATTCTCTAAACTTAAAACTAAATTTAACATCAGTCTCACCTTTTCATTCTGTATAGAGAAGGACAAAGATGCACTGTTGTCAAATTTAAGTTTAGCTTTAGAGAATCATGCCAGAATCGACATCAGTTCCTTTTTAATGGCATTCAGTCTAATTCGCTTGTTTGTTCATGAACAATTGCAATCCACGGACCTGAAAAAAACCTTTTTTTCAGATCCGTGTTGCAATCCAATCTTGTAGCCTGACTTGATCAGTCGGAACCCTAATACGTCCGTGAGACGATCAAGTCGACTTCAAGTCAAGTCTACGTGATTGAAGCGAATATTGATCGTTTACTTCTTTGACTTGACGGTAGCGTCAAAATGGCAGTAGTTTTGATTGAGCGCTTGGTGCGCTTGCGGTTGACACGGCGTGATGGGTATTGACATTTTTTTCTCATTTGTGGCTAACCTAACCTAACATTTGCTACTGGCAAACTTTTTTGACATTTACATATAACTAAAGACAAAATTGCATATCCACAACTATTTTCGTGGTGTTATAATAAAGCAGTAGTGAATCACTAAAAAGCTAGGTGATTATCACTTCCACCTGTCAAAGCAGTAAGCGAATAGGCCTAGAGGTAATATAGTGCATATTCACTTTGAAAAAATAATAATAAAAAAAGTAAGCTTTTGAGGGAGTCCCGTAAAACGAACGTATATTTTTCCATTATTTGCTTGTTATTTTAATATAGTGTCTTATGTGGTATTTATGGTACGGAACGGAACGGAGTCCGACTCACACTTGATCGGTTTTAGGCACGGTTCACGTGCGCACTTGACTGCACCATCAATGGACGTCAAGTCCCTCATCCATTAAAACGTCAATTACGTTAGAATTGTCAAGTCGACTTGATCGTCTCCGGGATCCATAACAAGAAAACAATAAAACTCCCGTTTCGCAATCAAGCACCTAACGAACACTATGACATAGCGTAGTAGGCACAACACAATACAATGTATTGTGCGAACAATTTCGCTTCTGGTTCTATGTCAATGTAATCTATGACGCATACTTGTCGTCCCTATCCACGTTGCCATCAAATCATTTCTTAACCGTCATGGTCTAGATAGGAAATCAAAAACGAAGGAATATATTTTAACATCACCTTTTATTTACATTTTAACATATTGTCTGTTTCATAAATATTTCATATACATACAAAATTATAATAATTCCGAATCTACTCTTGTGGTGCTAATAGCAAATTGAAAACATTCTTTCAAGTTATTCTTAAGCAATGAGTTAAACCTAGAGTTTACGTACACTAAAACGTGCGTTTGGCAGCGAAAAGTAATTAAAAAAACAATAAAATATAACTTTCAGTAACAACAGTATGACGAGGACAAACACTTTTATAGATGGCGCTGGTATTGTGATCTCAATAAATGAACTTTAAACGGCCAACGAGAAGCGATACAAAAGTTCATTCACCTTATACGAGACTATGGGACTGACAGTCTAATAACTATCTCTTCCATTTCATTTAAATGACATGAAGTCTCGTTCGGTCATATCTAGTACTATGTCTATGGTTCATATCATCCGAGGCGCTGTCAAAAACGATGCCCACTCCTGATAACAATAACTCTTGATTGATAACAATTTAATTAAGTTTATACTACAAAAACATCAACTCGTGCCAGGTAGCTGCATAGAACTTTCGCTCATATTTTAACAAATTAGAAATGATATGGAAGCATGACTCTCTAACAAAGGCCACTTAAATATCAAATATCTGCAAATAAATTCAGCTAGCTATTCATTGGGAAAAATAATGATAAACGGAAATCCCAACCAATCTAATGATTGGCATATTGATCACTGTTTGCATGGAACCACTTTTTAGTGCAGTTCTTATTCCAAATTATTTTTAATTTGCTGTCATACTTAGAATTTTTCTTACTCTATTCACAGAAATGAACTAGTACGGACAAAAGCTAGCTGCTAGGGTGGAATTCTTTCTTGTGTGACAATGTTTTGGTTTCTTGTCATTTTAAGGGATTTTGTATGAAATAAAGTGTTCACATTCCTAGCTTATTCCGTTAAAAGAGTTAAAAATATTACTGAGAAAATTCCAGAAGTTAATTGCTAAAATTGACCTATAATATTATAATAACTTATCATCGTTCAACTAACTACAGAATGAGAAAAAAAAGGAGTATTTCTTTCTCTGCTTTACTACAGTTCACACTTATCCATATGACTGATTTATTAGAAACAGCATATTAAATATTTCACTTTAGCAACTCAATAATTTCACTTTTGTATGTAAACAAAACACATCACTGTCAAAGCATTTCTTATTCAGGACACATGTTATTTTCATACTTGTCAAACAATAAGTCAATTTGAATAAAGTATAATTTCATGAAATATTTTTTTTTCTGGACCTGGACCGTGTGATTTTTTTTCTAGTCTATTTTTTTTAGAATCATATCATTTCATTTCCAGCCAGTAGTTCGCGTTCGATCTGACAGCTAGCTAAGGAGTGCTAAGTCCTTTATCTATCTATGTCTTCGCTCCGATATTAGATTCTCACTGTCATCAGCGCCATCTATGGGAATGTCCTCGTCACTACTAGTCCTCCAGGTCGAGGTTCTGCAGTTCCTCATCCAGGTCTTCGTCTAAGAACAGGTTCTCGTTAATGGGCACGGCTGGTGCGGCATCGTCTTCATCAGGTTGATCTCCTTCCTTGTGGTCACCGTTCTCAAGGCCTTTGCCCAATTGTTCTAGACGGTCTTCTGATGCCTTCGTTCCGGTGTCGTCGACCTGTGGGCAAAATTTTAATAGTAGTTTATGCGGCTGTCATATAAGAAGAGGTATGAAACTTGATTTAAACAAAAAGGGAATATAGGGTACTCGCGTCTGAAAAGTGATCCGCTTAAATCGTGGTGCATGACCACAATTCGCTTTAGTCACAATTAGACATCTAAACACGCCGCATTTGCACACAATATAACAATATTGCGTATATTCTGTGTTATAAAGATAAAACAATGCCTTAAATGCTTTTATAAAGAACACAAATAGTTCAAAATCAAATAACAAATGCCTCGGCAACAGTCTTCATTCATAAAACTATAAAAAAAACGAGTGAGCCTTACAGTAGTCGCGTATGATGTGTAACATTTGAAACCTCACCTTATATTAGTAAAAAAAGATATAAAACTTACTACAAAAAGAATAAGCCATTTAAACATTGTTCTAAAATCAAATCATTCCTAGATCAATATCCCGATATCCGATAGCATCTTTTCGTCGCCATCTTGTTCGTACGTCCGTAGATCGACGACTGCATCGCTATTAACCTAGAATTCTAACTAGGGGTCACTTATCTCGCAGGCCTCCATGCCATTCATTCCTAGATCATTATCTCGATATTCGATAGCATCTTCCTCGTCGCCATCTTGCCCATACGTCCGTAGATCGACGGCTGCATCGTAATCATCCTAGAAATCTAATTAGGGGTCACTAACCTCGCAGGTCTCCATGCCAATCATTCCTAGATAAATATCTCGATATTCGATAGCATCTTGTCCGTACGTCCGTAGATCGACGGCTTCATCGCTATCATCCTAGAAATTTAATTAGGGTTCACTAACCTCGCAGGCCTCCATGCCAATCATTCCTAGATCAATATCCCGATATTCGATAGCATCTTCTTTATCATCATTTTATCCATAAGTCCGTTGATCGAAGGCTGCATCGCTATTAACCTAGAAATCTCACTAAGGGTCACTAACCTCGCAGGCCTCCATGCCAATCATTCCTAGATCAATATCCCGATATTCGATAGCATCTTCTTTATCATCATTTTATCCATAAGTCCGTTGATCGACGGCTGCATCGCTATTAACCTAGAAATCTCACTAAGGGTCACTAACCTCGCAGGCCTCCATGCCAATCATTCCTAGATCAATATCCCGATATTCGATAGCATCTTCTTTATCATCATTTTATCCATAAGTCCGTTGATCGACGGCTGCATCGCTATTAACCTAGAAATCTCACTAAGGGTCACTAACCTCGCAGGCCTCCATGCCAATCATTCCTAGATCAATATCCCGATATTCGATAGCATCTTCTTTATCATCATTTTATCCATAAGTCCGTTGATCGACGGCTGCATCGCTATTAACCTAGAAATCTCACTAAGGGTCACTAATCTCGCAGGCCTCCATGCCAATCATTCCTAGATCAATATCCCGATATTCGATAGCATCTTCTTTATCATCATTTTATCCATAACTCCATTGATCGACGGCTGCATCGCTATTAACCTAGAAATCTCACTAAGGGTCACTAACCTCGCAGGCCTCCATGCCAATCATTCCTAGATCAACATCCCGATATTCGATAGCATCTTCTTTATCATCATTTTATCCTAAAGTCCGTTGATCGACGGCTGCATCGCTATTAACCTAGAAATCTCACTAAGGGTCACTAACCTCGCAGGCCTCCATTCCAATCATTCCTAGATCAATATCCCGATATTCGATAGCGTCTTCCTCGTCGCCATCTTGTCCGTACGTCCGTAGATCGACGGCTTCGTCTCCGTCGTCGGCGTCGGCGGCGAGGGCAGGATCGAACGAGAACATTTCTCGTCCGGACAGACCGACGGCCCGACCCGCCTTGAAGTCGCTGCGGCGTTGCTCCTCCGCTTGAGCTAATGCCTCCTGTTAAACGAACAAATATTTCTTTATAATAATAATTCATTTATTTCAACCACAAAGATCATAGCATGCCAATGACGAAATAATAATAATTAGTAATAATTATAATACTACATAAAAACAAATTAAATTACATCTCAACATACAATTACATTTAAAACAAAATAAATTTAAACTCAATTGGTTTCACACCTATTAACAGTTTCAAAATGTCAAAAAATAAAATAAAGGTGAAAATTTAAAATGATAAAATTAAAAACGGTATAACTAAAAAGTCTTGACAAGTGTTAAACTGCCCAACAAATAAGAAATTATATGGAAGCATTAATCTCTGACAAAGGCTGCTAAAACATGGTTCCTTTAACTCGTACAAATGAACTTTAGTACTAATGCACATGCAATGCACAAAAAAGACAGAACAAAATAATTTGACAAATCAAATATCTTCAAATGAATATGGCTATCCATTCATTGGATAAGATAGTGATAAACGGCAATCCCAACAGTCAGCGTGTTGATCGCTTTTATTTTGCCACGCCCACTTGATGACAGTTTGCGTGGGACCACTTTTTATTTAGAGTTTTACAGTTCTTATTCCTAATCATTACTAATTCATTGATCCTGCCCTATAAAAATATAGAAAAATATCCTACGAGGCCACCTATTAAATCTATCCAGTCCAACCTACTATGTAGAGTTGCAATTTAAGTTTTCTTAAACTTTCTGTGCACCTTTCCTACCTTTTTATTTTATTGTATTATGATTGTTTCAACGATGTTTTCACAAACACTGCCAATTAGCTAATAGACTTGTATAAAGTATATTTGGAATATTCAATAAATCAATAATAAAACTGAGCGTGAATTTAAGGGATAATTCTGTCTGTATCTCTTTAGGTTACTGTTATGTTAGTGTTATAAGATAAAAAAATCGATTTATGTAAATCTAAGGTTAAAAAAGGTTGAGAATAAATACCAGTTTCTCCTTGATCTTCTTCTTTTTCCAGGCTAAGAAGGTTTCTAGCGTTATCTTGGTCTGGTTGGACCCGAGTGCAGCCCTCTCCCGTTCTATTAGGTCCACGAGGGATATTTCATTTTTCTTTTCCTCCATTTTCTTCTTGTCCCTCTTGAGAACAAAGCCGGCCGGCAGAGCGTGCCTGTATATACATTTAGTGCCAGCGGGACACTCCCAGAACCAACCATATTTAGATTTCTCGACAGCCTCCAGAAAGTGTTTGCATATCTAGAAAAGAAATTAAGGATTTATAATTTCAGTTACTATTGTGTATTTTTGATAACATAGATACAATTCTATTATGTGAACCTTCTTTAAATCATTTTAGCTGTTTATACTTTTAAAATTTTTTATTTATTTGCTTACACATAAAAAATAAAATGAAATTTTGTAGATCACAAAACCAGTCAACCAATGAGGGCTACCGTTTTCTGCCTCACCAAATGGCGCCACTGTTGAGTGAGGTCCTAAATTGTAACTTTTAAAGTTTATTAATAACGCACATGAAATCAAAGGTTACATTTAGATCGTATTTTAACACAAAAGAACCATATCCTAAACATAATAGGCCATGCCACAGTGACGGGCAGTTCCGTTTTATTCGGAAAAAATGGGAACATAATCATTTTTCTAAGCTCAAATTTTTAATAACTGACATTCATTGCCACATAACTCATATTTGCCATAATTAAGCCGAATTGTTACCAATTATTCACAACATTATTTTAATTAGAAATAAACCCGTGTAGTCAACCAACAAGCATTAACATTTGACATTTCGGAGACCTCACGCTACACTAGTGCCTCTAGCGGCGGATTCATACGCGATAGCCCTCATTGGATGGGTAACCAAAAACATTGCCCATTTTTTTGATAAAGGCTCTATGAATTCTCATTAATAAGCTGTCTAATCAGGCTTACTGGCCTATCCTCATTTGAATGGGCCTATTTATTTTCAAGTCATTATATGCTGTAGGAATTAATGCCCATTTTGCTAAGTCAGACAAAGATTAAAAGAAATAAAAACCATCCCCAAATTATTAAATTAATCTGTTTATAAAATTACTCTGCCATAGAAAACATTTGCACATGATAATAATAAAAAAAACCACTCACAATGTCCGTACTGGGCCTCTGTTTGTTGCCTTCTCCGTGCTTTTTCTCCACCACCTCTTGAAGCTTGGCTTCGTCCCAGTTGTCCATGTTGTCGTCATCATCCCTCATGTCTACATACAATGATCTCTTCTCAGCCTGTAAATAAATGAAAATTAGTTAATTACATTGATTTAATCACCTTACCATTAGGCTATTTGACAATATGAAAAATAAAGTACCAATTGTTGGTATTTCTATTTAAAATGAATATTAGCAGCGATTTTACTATTCTAAGTGAACATATAATTACTACCTTTTCTAAAAAATCTTTTGTTAAATGATATTTGTGACCAAAAATGATTGGGATTGACGAGACTAAAATGACATCACACGCTAGTAAACTTCCGCTCAAAGTGACATTACATTGTATCTTTTGACGTTTTAATGACAGAAGTGTGACGTCACATACCAGTGAGACGCCATATGATCAGAGAAACGTTTTCGCGGCAAATTGTAAATGGAATTTTTGATTCAGTTTTTTTACTGAAATACACAATAGAATGATGAATTGCCAAAAAGGACACTTAGCTTTAACTACAAATTTGTAGCAGTAGTGTAAATTTTGAACACGTAAGTGCTGAGGGCCCACCAACTGATTTTTTTTTTTTATTTGTAGTCTCTCAACAGAGCTCAAATTATCTTCTTAATATAAACATTCACCAAAATTATACAGTAATATTAAAATTGAGGCGTTTTTTCTGAGGCCACATTTGGTGAGTCGTACAACGATATTAAATACCCTAGATACGTGGGCTCAAAATGTGTCCCAATTAAGAGTGCCTAAACTCCACTCAAGCACTTCTTGGTTCACAGTGTTGAAATTATACAACAAAATTTTGAGGCCTGGGAGAACTCGCAGGACGCTCTAGGTGTATTTTGCGACTTGTCTAAGGCTTGTGATTGCGTTTTACATGAAACATTGCTCAGGAAACTCCACCACTATGGATTTAGAAATACCGATCTGGATCATATTGCATCATACCTGAGGGATAGGATTCAGAGGGTTGACATTAATGGCAATAAGTCTCCTAATTCGCCGGTTAAGATGGGTGTTCCACAGGCCTCAATTCTTGGTGCTTTCTTATTTTTAATTTATGTTAATGACTTAGCTTATTATGTAAGAGATAACCATGACATAGTATTGTTCGTGGATGATACATCACTTTTATTTAAACTCAAGGAAACAGTTATTGACGACGTGAACAGTTGTATCTCTAAGGTAGTCCACAGGTTCAATGTTAATAATTTTTTGCTTAATGAAGGAAAAACGAAATGTATGAAATTTGTAATGTACGTAATGTAAAACAGGTAAAAACCAGTGTGAATGTAAAGGATAGAAATGTAGGCCTTGTAGACACCACAGTATTCTTATAAAGATTCAATGGGGCCCACATATTGATAAATTGGCAAATAGACTTAGCTCTGCAGCATATGCCGTAATGAAAATACGCCGGTTAACGGGTGTAGTAGCCGTCTACTTTCCTCGAGGTTCTTACCGGCTATATTGCTATCAGAGCATTCAAAATCGCGCGTAGAGTCAAAGAAATAAGGTCTATATTCTTCCGCATATAGCAATAACTCGTTTTATTTTATAGCTTGCATTTTGAACTGTCATAATTCTTTTATGCATGCTTTTTAATTAAGGCCTTATACAGTTAAAGTTCAAAGTTTAAATATCTTTCGGAACTCCATCGTCGTCGATCATCCAATGTATGTTTTGGACAGGTTTCAGCCACTATTTTGTTCATGTTGTTGTATCTAGGGTATTAAATATAGTTGGAATCGTAGCATTCAACTTACAACAGCTACAAATTTAAGCTTCTGGCTACATATTTTAAAAGATCCTGTTAAATCTTTAGTTGCATAGTTTTCAACTTTCACATGTGCTTGTAAAAGCCTAAATTGAATATATGATTTTTGAATTTGAATTTATGTAAATGAAACCTAAGTTTTCCACTGTGGCCTCTCAGAGGGCACTTCCATAAAAATAAATACTCATTGTATAATTTTAGCCAAACTGGCAAATATAAAAAATTACCAATTACTACAAAAAAAGTAAGAAAATGTTCCAAACCCTGTTTAGGCAAATTTTGTATGCCATTTTTTAAGCTTGTGTTGAATGCATGTCTAACTTTTTTGTGGTAATAAGAATATAATTTATGGCAATTTTTAACCTTTAACATAATATTTCTTACCTTTCTTTCAATAGTCAAGTCATGGGAAAACTTGCATTTATCACCTTTAAAACATTGCCCCTGCTTGAAGAATGCACACACAACTGATTTAGGATCAGTTCCTGTAATGATGAAACACACAGATGCGGTCATTTTGTTGCAGTGTCATTTCAAGAGGAGGCAAACATTAATAAGCTTATCTGAATCAAGTAGCATTTTATTATTATTATTTACAAGGAGCAGAAGTGTTGTACTAACTCATGACCATGGGCGAATTTACCCTAAGGCCAAGAGGGCCATTTTTTTGTCTGGGAAATGCCTGAAGGTGCTATCCGATGGATGGCCTGTGTTCTCGCGGGCGCGGCCGCGCCGTACAGAGTTACCAAACGTATGAGAACTCTAATGTTCGAGATTTAGCAGTCTCTATACATGATATGAGGTAAATAGTAATCTCATACACTGGCTGGCTGTGTGGCACGACTACGTGTGCTGTGTGGGGCGACAGAAGCCTTAAGAAGGCATTTATTAATAATCTATATTTCGATTTAGTTTGCCAATTCTAGAGGGGTGCAAATCATAAGTGGATCGGGACACCAGATTTTAAAACACACCCCTGCTCGTGACCACAGGATTTAAGCCTAAGTGTTCATTTTACTGTGATATTCTCTCTCTATTAAGTAAATTAAAGACTAAACTCAAACATATAAATAAATCTAGGCCATTTTACCTTTCTCTACTTTCTGAATTTGTACTGGTTTAAACAACAATGCCAATTCCTTCTGTTCTTTCAATTTTTGTTCTTTGTCTTTCTTTTTATCCTCCATGGGCTTGGCAGGATGAATGCCTCCACTCTTCACTTGCTTTTCTACTTGCTGGATGAATTTTTGTTGCTTAGCACCCTTCTTGTTTTTGAGACCAAAGGTCTTATCCTGAAAAAGACAACAAGTTGATGACAATGATAATATTTTACACTAGTGTTTCATTTTTGATTACAATATCTCTAAAAACGATATGATACTACGTTGGTGGAGTGAGTGACAATAGATCTTATAGGTTGCAGTGACTACTGTTTCACCAGAAAAGCTTTACAGTTCCAAACTAACATAACAAAAATAGGTAGTCATTTTAATTTTTATATAAACTGGCAGATAAAAATCAGGATACCTTTAATCTTAATCCCGCGTAACTATTGTTTGGGCTATTACACTTTTACTATAAATGTTATAGCAATTAATTGATGAGGTAACCATACCGTGAAGTTATACTTGTTTTTATTTATGTAATTAAATTAGTAGTAATATTAATTCACCAAGAATCAGTTTGTACCTATCCACATCATCAGATGTGGTTGGTCTGCAGCGTTTGATGATTTAAAATAATAATATCGAAAAAGTTCAACAAACATGAATACCTCAATAACTTTTTCTTTTTTCTTCTGTTCCGTCTTCTTGCTGGCACCACTACCAGCAGGTGCTTTCTTCGGCGGCATGGTTCTGTTCTTGAAGTTTCAATTCAGTATTTATAAATAATACAGGTAAACCTAAGATGGTCGTTTTTTTATCTTCTTAAATATAATCACTCACTACACCCCAGGATATTTATATTTTTCCATCTACAAAAATTAAATTTTGTTTTAGGTGACGACAAAAGCTGACGACCGCCGAACGAATGAATGAGAATGAGATGAGTTTTTTAAGGGTCTCCCTTTTTCGGGAAGGCAAAGGAAACAATGCCCACACAGCCTAGTCTTCAGTTTTCTTTGTTTTCTTTTTTTAACATTAGAATGTGGGTGTGACGCATTCTAATCTTTCTTGAAGAGTTTCGCACGAAATGTATCGATTTGGCTTTTTCGATAAGCTTCTGTGAGGTAGTCAACCCTACAATAAAAATATCACGTCCACTAGACCGGAATAGCGAATATTTTAAAGATTCTCTTCAGTTGTGCAGACGGTTGTAACACAAAATCACACCAATTTTTTTTCACAATATCCATTATGAATGAATTAAAGGATAACAAATAAAAAATTCAAAAAATAAAACGCCAACCGCACTCGATGAAGTCCCGCTAGCGCTGCGCGACGATATGCGAATAATACTAATACTAATCATTCGACTCCACGTATCATTCGACTAAGTCGACTGCGCTTTATATCATTCGAATGGAGTTGAAGGCATCTGGCGGTGCGTGTCGCACGCAGCGACATTTGACATTAGTATTACTAATTAGTAGCCGTTATTCGAATAATGGGTGGTGGGTCATGGCCCAATCTCCCTATTCCATCCATACGGAAGGCCTGTGCCCTAGCAGTGGGGACATTAATAGGCTGATGACGAAGATGATTCGAATAATGATATTAGTATACTACTAATTTGCCTTTAGAATAGCCAAATTAGTAGTTACGAATTAGTTAGTCGTCCTTCGTCATTCGTAAATCATTCGTATAGTAGACGTACATTGCTAAATCCCGTCAAAAATTTTATGAGATGAGAGACAGCACCAGTGTTGCCAGGACCGATTATGAAAAATCGGGACGTGTTACAGAAAATAGCAGTAGACGTATGGAAAAGGCGTATTATTTCCTATTTGCACCACCATCCCTCCTAAAATTTGTAAATTAAATCAAAAGAAACGGACATATTCCTATGGCTTCTGGTGCAACATATTTATTTTATTATATTTAAGGTTACCTACATTCTTAATGGCGGTAAAGCAACTCAACATGCAATTATAAAAAGAAAATCGTATTCTAAGAAAAATAGTACATTCATGTAGAGAAACAGAAGAACAGGAGACATTTCACAAAGACAGGAGATTTAATTTAAAACTGGGAGATCTGGTAACCCTGACGAAAAGCCTAGTGCTATGCATGACGTTTCAATTTTGCCGATTTGACATTTGTTGAACATGGAGTGGAGCGCTGGAGCGTAGGTTTGGAACGTAGCCAGTGACCACAGAGTATAGAGATTACAGCAACAGCTATTACACTACCCAACTTTTCACATAATAATATATTTTGTAAATCACCATCATGTTTTTTTAATTCTCTCATAAATAAATATAATTGCTAACATAAAGGTAAGATTAATAAATAAAATAAATAAATGAATTGTTCTTTATTATATACTTTTTGATTTCTTTTTGCCAAAAAAATTATAGATCTGAATTTAAATTAAGTAACACTTATTTCTCTGCATTAGATGCCATCGTGCCATTAAACGAATTCAATTACAAATACGTCCGTACCATACGCTCTTAGAGCATCGACTCGACTGAGCTCCATTTCTACCTAACAGCTATTTCTCTACCCAATCATCAGGGCTTAAGAGAGATCGGGTCGCACCGATCGCCCTAGAGGGTACGGTAATTGACCCTACTCCCTAACTCATATTAAACCAACCTACTACAGTTAGAATGGGATGTCGCCCCTTTCTAACTGTACTCAATTAAAGATCAACACTTAAGCTCGTATTACAAGAATGACAACTAAATCTTGATCTTTACTTGAGTACAGTTAGAAAGGGATGTCGCTATGTGCTATATATAGCGACATACCTTTCTAACTATGGTCTAGACTAAATCAATCACTGAGAATCTTTCTTTAATACGGGCCAGTTGTCATTCCTTAATACGAGCCTTAGTCAGGGTAGAGGTCCTTTAGATTGGATAGTCTAATAGGCGCATTAGAGATGTAGAGATTATGCCAGTGACAGTGACAGACAGTACTCCATCCAGTACTCACAGTAGGTAGTGTTGTCTGCAGTGGTGTGTGTGCAGTGCGGTGCTACGTGCGGCTTCAAAGCAGAAATAAAGAAATCAGACGTTCATTGAATATAGGCCATGGCAAGTGCCAATTCTAGTGAACATTTGAGGAGTAATCAAAAATAGGGAGTGCTTTATTTTTATAGAAAATAATACAATGGAAATTATAGATGTGGAAGAATGTCAACCTGACCCAGCCGCGGTCACGAGAAAGAAAAGTTTGTGGGCTAAAATTAACAACAGAACTACTTACGGATATTTATTTAATATTTTTATTTCAATTTTATTGCTCACTTGTCTGGTTTTAGTGTTATACTTCTTTAAGGAATATTTGAGGACGATATTGTTTTGGGTCAACCATCAAGATCCATGGATAATATTTTTGTTATTCTTGGGACTATTTTTGATAGTGAGTTTCCCGATCACAATTGGATATTTAGTGTTGATTATTACTAGTGGTTACTTGTTTGGGATTCTGACTGGACTGGGGACAGTGTTGGTTTGTGCGAACTTTGGAGTGGCGGTTGCTCACTACACATTGCGGGCGCTACGAAGCCACCTTCCGTTGGAGAGGCTCATGAAGAACGAGACGGCCAGAGCTCTCCTCAAAGTGATAGCAGGTCCACAAGCCTTCAAAATTGTCTTCTTTGCAAGACTCACCCCTATACCCTTTGGATTGCAGAATACAATATTTGCCGTGAGTACATCAATCCTTTTCACACATTATAGATCTGTTTTGTGGCATACAGTTTTATATCTTTTATTACTTTGCTACTGTAAGATTTAGATGTTTTATCATTTACTACCACAGCACTGGATAACATATTTTAAATTTTATTATTAGCAAACCTACAGAGTCAAGCAGTATAAAATGCCTTAAAATAAAAATATAAAAGCAATATAGCTAATATTTATTTATAGTTTATTAAAATGTGTATGTTTATTGTTACATATAGGATTTTAATGAAAATGGGTACACCAATATGATGGAATTAGAGGAATATATAATACAGTAATATAAGGTTCATGTGGCATAATAAATTGGAAGTTAGGGTTTTCTCAATAGTGCATTTTTTCTTTTATAATAATATTTTTAAAACATATTACTGATTTTATCACTATGAGTATGTTCATCCATTTCATTGATTACTAGTGAACCTATCGATGTTATGCTGATCAATAAATATTAAAAAATTCACATCCATTGAACATAGCCTTGTGTATTTTGTGTGCGACAGTCACGTGAGCAGTAGAAAGCATGTGTAGAGAAACAAAGTTTAGTGTATTTGTTGAATTTTTTCAAAAAACTTTTGCTGGAGTCCTGGCTTATTGCAATCAATGATCAGCTTGTAAATAAAAAAAAATGGTATTTAATAAACTCAAGGGTCCAAGTAGGGACCAATCCAATCCTGCAAGATAATTTCAATCCAAGTATTTGCAGGATTCAACCATCTTAATCCCACTAGATTCAGGTATTTGTGGAATCCAGCAGGGTGGACTTAAATTTTTAAAATCAATCGTAATAAAGACCTTCTGTGCTTTTCTGTAAGAACAAATTTAATTTTCACTATGGAATGTGTAGTGTGATTTAAAATTTGAACGTGAATTTCAAATCACACTTCCGGTTTCGATTCGGTGAAGGGTGAGTGTTCTTATTGAATAGCAATGCTGATAGACCGCTCGTTTATTGTATTATAATTATGACCCAAATTAATAAACAAAGCATTTTAGAAAAATGCATCCTACCTTCTGAAGGGGATTGTCCAGGCTCAAGATCAATGGTCATACAGCTTTGTAACATGCAGTCCTATTATTATCAATACTTATAAGTTAAAGCTGGACCTAACAAGTTATGGGCAAAACAAATTCCGTTTTCATTCATTTGAAATGTTCGCACTAGCGTAACATGTTTTATAGTGTTTATATCAAGGGAGGAACCCTGGGATTGATTACTTTTTAATTTGAACGGCAAAATAAAATATATTAAAAATATCTATAATAATAATAAATTTGTATTCATTATCAATTATTTACTTATTACATATAAATGTTTTAAATGTAGGGAAAAGTCAAACCTGTGTTTCAGGCAAAGAGATCTACGAAACACTTGATTTTTCGCCCATATGCATCGCACATAGAGTAACACGTATGAAACAAGCTTTCTGTAATCTAGACGTACGTAAGACTAGTCCCGCAAAATATCCCGGATCCCGGTAATTCCAACGACGGCAGACAGTCGACCTCAGCCGCTATCCGCAGTATCGCCTGCGCTTGCAGTCTGCAGCTCATCTCCAATCCGCACTCGGCTCGCGTGGTGGGTCATGGCCCATCTCCCTATTCCATCCATAGGGAAGGCCTGTGCCCCAGCAGTGGGGACATTAATAGGCTGATGATGATGATAATGATAGTTACATTTTAGACACGTGTTTAAAAACGACGAAAATACCTTCCCGAGAACAATTACTTTCGCAACGGTATTATCATACATAAGTGTAAAATCAGCTTCGTACCTTCTTTCGTGCCGGCAACACTATCATAATGAATATTTTTAAATCCCGTTCCAATTTTATCTTGCAATGTGGATTTGCATTACTTTATACCTTAAATTAAATAACATTCGCCCGAAATTATTTGAAAAATTATAGACACAAACAAGGTGTAAGTTTCTTTTTTATTTTTCCTTCGTAAAAGTCGAAGTTATCGAAAACATTTTTCATTTATTAAAAATGTTAATGTTTCATTCACAATCTTCTTCTATCTATACTATAGTAATATTATTCTATAAATTATTTGTATTATAGAGAGGAAAGATTTCATTGTTTGTATTGAATAGGCTCCGAAACTGCTAGACCGATTTAAAAAAAATCTTTCACATTTGGAATCCTACATTATCCGTGATG